CTGTGGCCTTGCATGAGATTTGAGCCAATTTTATGCAGAAGATGAATGACAATTCAATAAAAAATGTCTACCTTTCATAACAATGAACAAACACTAAATGACTTACAAATAATTAAAATAAAAATGATTTCCAAAGTAAAAAAAAAATATCTTTAATCTTAGTAACGATATTAAATACACTCAAAAAAGTTTACCCTAAAAATAAACACGTCCATTCAATATACTTACTAAATTTTCAATATTTTTCAAAACTGTACATAATTTGTGTTCTAAACCAGCATTTAAAAACCGTGTTCAGTATATACAAGATTATAATTAAACTATGTTGGAATATAATTAAATCCAGAATATTTTTTTGCATATTTTTGCTTTTATCTCAAAGGACCCCTAATCTTCCGAAATTTACCAATAATTATGACATTTAGGAAGCCACAATAATTTCTTTCAAGGTGGTAACTTTCTATGTCTACAGGGTGAACTGAACTCAGCAGAATGATTTATTTAAATTAAATAAATCATTTCTAAGTTTTAAATTTTTTTATACAAATGTACAATTTAAAATATGAAATGTACAAAAATTATAATGAAAATGAAAAACATTAAAAATGAATTTCAGAAAATAAGATCTTCATTAACAGGTATTTTTAAAAAATAATATTTTTGTATTCTAAGATACAGCCCCTAATAGTCCTTAATTGGTCAACCCTGTACATGTATTTCAAAAGCACCCTGTATATAAATATCAATTTATGAAAAAAAAAAAAAATTAAAAAAAGAATTTCCCACAACATTTAAACTTTTTAAAATGTGCAGAATTTGATATATTGAAGACTTTTAATTGTCACGTCATCTGTCACTTCATGTAGAACTTTTACTATGCCCTTTAAAAAAATATATTGAAGATTTTCAACTGTTACGTCATCTGTCAGTTTATGTCATGTGATCTGTCACTAATGTAACATCTGTACCTTCATATAAGTATCATGTAATTAATTTTTGAAATAAATAAAAATCAAGAATATCCCATAATATTTAAACTATTTAAAATGTTCAAAATTAAACATATTGAAGAGTTTTACTGTCATGCCATATGTCACTTAAAGTACTTTTAGTATGCCCCCTGTATATACCAAAATAAAATCAATGAGAATTTAAACTATTTGAAATGTTCAAAATTAAAAAATATACTGAAGATTTTTAAGTCATCTGTCAGTTTATGTCACGTCATCTGTCACTTTGTCACATTATCGGTTCCTTCATGTAATTAAATATCTATCAATTTCTGAAATAAATCAAAATAACAAATTTTCCAAACTTTTTAAAATGTTCAGAATTAGATATACCTAGTGAAAAGTATTAACTGACACTTCAAGTAGAACTTTTACTATGTCCCTCGTATATATAAAAATAATATCAAGGAAAATTTCCCCATTATATTTAAACTTTTTGAAATGTTCAAAATTAAAAAGAATATTCAAGATTGTCAACTGTTACGTCATCTATCAGTTTATATCAGTTTATATCACTTCATCTTTTAATTCAAGTAAAACTTTTAGTATGTACCAAAATAAAACCAAGGATAATTTCCCCATTATATTTAAACTTTTGGAAATGTTCAAAACTAAAAAAATTATTAATGATTTCCAATTGTTGCGTCATCTGTCAGTTTATGTCACGTCATCTGTCAGTTTATGTCACGTCATCTGTCACTATGGCACGTCATCTGTCACTATATCACATCATCTGTGTCTTCATTTAAAATCAAGAATTTCCCATAATATTTAAACTATTTAAAATGTTTAGAATTAGATATATACTGAGTTTTAAGTGTCATGTCGCCTGTCACTTCAAGTAGAACTTTTACTATGCCCCTCGTATTTACCAAAATAAAATCGAGGAACATTTCCCCATTATATTTAAACTTTTTAAAATGCTCAATATTAACAAAAATATTGAAGATTTCAACTGTTACGTCTTCTGTCAGTTTGTATCACATCATCTTTCACTTCAATTAAAACTTTTAGTATGCCCCCTGTATGTACCAAAATAAAATCAAGGATAATTTCCCCATTATATTTATACTTTTTGAAACGTTCAAAACTAAGAAAGATTATTGAAGATTTCCAATTGTTGCGTCTCTGTCAGTTTATGTCACGTCATCTGTCACTATGTCACGTCATCTGTCACTTTTTCAAATCAACTGTGCCTTCATATAAAATCAAGAATTTCCCATAATATTTAAACTATTTAAAATGTTCAGAATTAGATATATATTGAGTTTTAAGTGTAATGTTGCCTGTCACTTCAAGTAGAACTTTTACTATGCCCCTCGTATATACCAAAATAAAATCAAGGAGAATTTTCCCGTTATATTTAAAAATTTTGAATGTTCAAAATTAAAAGAAAAAATTTAAGATTTACAACTGTTATGTCATCTGTCAGTTTATTTCACGTCATCTGTCATGTAATTAAATCTCTATTAATTTCAAAAATCAAGAATTTCCAATATTTAAATTTTTTTAAATGTTGACAATTAAATATATTAAAGAGTTTTTTTAATGGTTACTTCAAGAAAAACTTTTAGTATACCCTCTGTATATACTAAAATAAAAGAATTTCCATTATATGTATTTAAACTTATTAAAACGTTCAAAATTAAAAAAATGTGTTGAAGATTTTTAACTGTTACATCATCTGTCAGTTTATATCAAGTCATCTGTCACTTCAAGTAAAACTTTTAGTATGCCCCTTGTATGTACCAAAATAAAATCCATGAGAATTTTCCCATTATATTTAAACTTTTTGAAATGTTCAAAATTAAAAAATGTATTGAATATTTTTAACCGTTACGTCATCTGTCAGTTTGTTACGTCATCTGTCACTCTAAACGACACCCCCCCCCCCCCTTTAGCGCTCATTTATTCTGACAAGTGACAGTTCAACACGCTTAAATGTCAGTTAAAAGCTTCCTAAAAAACTTTACTATATAAGTATCATGTAATGTCACTTCAAACGTAACTTATGTATCTCCCTGTATATAAACCTATGTGATATTAAAAATTTGTCATTTTAAATTGGAGGTTATGTTCAGATCTTACTGGTCATAACCCCAGCTGAACAGCAGCTGTTAGGACTATGATTATTGTTAAGTTCAATTATCAGCTCCACCTTGTACAAATAGAATATTACACCATGAAAAAAATGTCACTTTTGACATCTTAAAAATGTCACCTATATATCTGAATATCTATAAGAATAGTAAAAGGTCCTTTAACTACCATTAAAAACAAAATTATGAAACAACAAATAATTTAAAATAATTTTTTTGTGGAAGAATGTGTAACAATGGATATTAAAAATACATTACATTACCTTAAAAAACTCGAAACGCAACACAACTCTCCTTGGGTATTATCCTCGTTCTATTTCAGCTGGTGTTTAATAATAAACTACTTATGAGTCCAAAAAATGTTGAAGTTTTTTATTTGAATAAATTCTCACCCCACAAAACCGTCAATTGGACAGACGGTTTAATAATTGCAGTAGGTTTCATGTCTGGTGGTACATAAAAGGTTCCACACAGCTTCATGACACAGAGGCCCATTATAGAGCCATTATTGGAGCCTCTGTAAATTAACAATGGTGCTTGAGTATTGTTTTTCATCAGATGTTACAAAAGAAACCAAAAATCGATTACAGTTTTTATAGAGTTTTCATTAAATTAAAAAAAGATTCTACAGGTACATTTTTTTTAAATTTTCAGTTTGATTAGTTAAGCAATAAACTGAAAACTCTGTAGCATTCCATATAGTTGAATTTAACCTAGAATCCAATATGTAAATATTCACAAGAAAAATGCTAATGGTACATTTTCCAATTTCCAATCCATTGATATTGCTATGATTATAAAAATACTAGTTTTTTGACAAAATATTTACCTTAATTAACCCTTTTGAATACAAAAATTACCAAAAAAAGAATTAATCCTCTCTGAGGTAAAACTGCAAATGTCAAGAGATGATTTTTGTCACTCTCTAACTTAGATTTCCTAGATTTCTCAGAAAAAAAAAAAAAGCATTGGTTAACTGTATTTTGATTAACAGTCGAGTTCAAATTAACTGAAATAAATTTTAAGAAAAAATTTGGTACACACCATTTGGTTTTAGAAACAATTGTAGGAGCATTAAAAGTGTAGTTTGAAACAAACTTCAAAGAACAACCACACCAACAAGAATAAATATTCAATATTTTTCCAAATACTGACATGTGGCTGTGTTTGTTTAACCACACAGGATGCATCCAAGATAATGTGTTTTAGATCACATGATTTGGGATTAGATTCAACTGTAGATATAATAAAAAAACCCTATAGATGTATTGGTCACATGGAAAAAATGATAATGCAAGTTTAAAAAAATATAATGATTATGTATTATTTTGAGAAATTAAATATATTTATTATTATTATTATTGAAAATGGCGAAAATAACAGAAAAACTAAACCACTTGTGACAGTAGGCAGAGGACTAAATGTTACCCCAGTTTCACAGAGCAGTAAATAGAATTTGATAGATAAATCCAACAAAAATAACAAGTTCAACATTTCATTTGAAATCGAAATGTAAAAAATGTAATCTGGACAACTGTAATCTTGAATAAACAAACGGAAATGTAATGGGATCAGATGTGTCCAATGTGAATAAACAAACACTCCAAAGATAAAAAAAAATTATCAGATGTGGATATTCAAAGATGGTAGAAAGTAAAACATAAAATCTTTAGATATAATGTAGATTTGTATGACATTTTAATATTCAAAAACAAGACAGTCCAAATTATCAAAACACCTACTGACATCTTAGAATGTAAAACATAAAAAATCCACCAAATGGTATGTAAGCACTATATTTAAAAAATTATGATTGTTAACAATCAATAATTCGTCGTTTAAATTGTTTATTAACAAAGGAAATGGATACTATAATAGAAAATCAACTTACTTGTTTGAGTTGACTTGTCGAATGTGGGTAAAGACGTTGATAACGTCTCTAACCCTCCTGGGAGCTTCCTCAATTTTGGAAGCCAAACATACACAAGCCATGGCAGTGTGTTCGACAGGGTGTCGTACTAGACTCTTGGAATAGTAAAATCGTTGAAGGAGTACTTGTCCAGTAGCCATTGCTACCTAAAAATGATCGGCCATACCAATTAATACCCGTTTATGAAACGTAACGATAAACCTATCAATTAACTTAACGTACCTGAGGTAATTTTAATAAAATTCCAGCCGTTTGAATTAATTCGCATCCGTATATTCGCAAATCAATTTCTGTATCTAAACCAAGCCCATCTTTTTGAGATGGTGTCGGAGAAAGTTGCTCCTCTGGAAGTAATTGATTTTTTAACGTAAGTACCACTTTGCCATACGGTTTAGAATTGTTCTTTACACTATTCGTTACATTATCACTTTTAGTTGAGCCCATTATTTCAACTTTTAATAACGTACATTAAACGTTTCTAAACACAAACACAATACTCAAAATGTCTGCCAACGAAGTGAATAAAAAATGGTGGCTGTTTCGGACGTGACGTCACTATTTGACATATGACATAAAAGTTTTTTTGATAATCGGGTCTCGTAAGGTAAGTTCCGGCAGACAAGTTCCAATCACTCCTTTAACTCCAACGTTCGGTTTATTCCGATTAGTGACAGCCCAGGGGGTTAATTTTTGAATCATTCGCCACCCTGACGTATGCGAAAACGTATACTTTTCGCATACGTCAGGGTGGCGAATGATTCAAAAATTAACCCCCAGCCCCTGACTTCCCGAATGCACCTTCTACCATAAAGAAGAAAAAAACGACCTTGGAATAGCGATGGTTTCTAAATTTGACAGTAATCCAGAATAATGACAGTGTTTCCGGTTTCCAGTGACGTACTTTCATAAGAGGGTGTAAACTGTAAAAAACAGATCAAAAAAAGAGGAGGTTCTCAATTCGTCGGTTTTTTTTATGTATGTTCAGCGATAATTCTTTAACACGGTGTCCGATTTCAATGATTCTTTTTTGTTAGAAAAGGGGTACTTCAGGGGTGGTCCCATATAAATTTGGTCAAAATCCAATAATTAGGTCCATGAGAAAATCCTCAAACTCTTCATTGTTTATGTATGTTTAGCGATAATGTCCGATTTGTATGATTATTTTTTTGTTAGTAAGAGGGAACCTTAGGGGTGGTCCCATATAAATTTGGTTAAGATGTGGTAATGGCATCTACACGTTTTTGAAATCGATTTTTTTAAATTTTTCATTTCTAATACTTGTTTTGCGGAAACGAGTAGTTTGTATTTTTGTTTAAATTTACCATCAATATGTGAATAAATTTAAAACTGCGTGTTGGCTCATGACTTTGAGATCGCCCACAATGTGATATATTAAATCACAATTTTTCAATTAGACAAGTGATTCCAAAAAGCATTCATGTTCTCACATACAAACAAATTGTAATAAAAATATGTAAACCACACAAATAATTAAATGTTTATTTTACGTATGAAATTTATTATTATTAAAATAATGTTACAAAAATAATAATTATTAAAACAAATGGAATAACACAGTCTTAACAAAAAAAATCGACTGCATTCCTCAACGGTGTTCGATAATCTACCCACCCAAAAGTTGGTCTCACTCTCACTAGCTAAAACGACCATTTTCTGTCGATGTTTCCTTTCACAGAATCGTCTCGGGTTAGGGGACCATCCAAATAATAGATTATAAATAAAACAATTTTTTTTAATAAATGAAAAAGTAAAAAAAAATATGTTAAATAAAACAACTTTTTTTAATAAATGAAAAAGTAAAAAAAAATATGTAACTAAAAAGAAACCTAATCTACAACTTCAATTTTTGGTACATTTTTTTACTCAAAGTAACTGCAGTATCAAATAATTGCTTGTTGACAGCTCTCAACCTGACATTCTCTTCCAATATATCTTTGTTCGACTGTTCTTCAGACAAATCGAATTCGTCTTCTTCAATTTCTAAATCATCCGTCTGCAACTGAGAGAGTACCAAATCTTTTGCTAGATCCAAACTTCTTTCCAGACCTTTTACAATTACATGAGGTTTGATAGCTTCAGCGAAAAAGTTTTTATATCTGATCACGAATCTGGCATTAGTTACAGGACTAGGGTGCTTGATCTTCTTTAATATCTGTCTTTTTTTAACATCCCACGTGTATACAAAACAATCTAAGCTTCCAGATGCTAATACGGTTTCGGTTGTATTCAAAGCCAAGCTCACAATTCTTCCCGTATGGCCCGCAAATACCAAACTTGATTTATCATCCACATGATGAGTTAAATTCTTCGGTGGTTCTTTCAGATTAAATTGTCTGATGTCGCCTGATTCTGTACCGACATAAAGTTGTCCAAATGATGTGTCAAATAAGACGCTTGTTAAACAGTCTCCAAATACCAAATTTAAGATCGGTTCTCCAGTTAAAAGATTGTAAATTCGGCAAGTTCTGTCAGTAGAAACAGTCGCAAAACGAGCCTTTCTTTCGAAAATGCCTGAAGAAAAAGTTTAATAATAATAATAATAATAATCCACTGTTTTTGTAATGTATCGCAACATTGTGTTATACTAATCTATTTGTTTCCTTACCAACATGTATATCCTTAATAGCCATTGAATGATCTTTTTTTATGTAAAGAGGTTCTGCTTTGCCAATATCACTCTGCGATGAATAGTTGCTTGAAAAAGCAACCAAATCACACAATTTGTAGTTAATCAGCATCCCATCCTGTCCACCAGCTAACAAAAAATCGCCATCAGTAGAAAACTTTATTGCCATAACAGGTTGGTAGTTTTTTTGTTGGACGGATAAAAGCTTCCCTGAAGACATGTGCCAAACATACACTTTACAGTTGATGCCCACTGCTAAATAAATATTTTGCGGGCATACCGCCATACAATTTGCAGGTTCTGGAATGATCAACCTATAATAGATATTTACGATATAAGTGCGGTATGAATATTATTAATATATGCATGTGAAAATTGGGCAATCACATAAGTATATTAATAATGTGTTACCGGCACGAATATTGTACAATATTTTATCTACAACTGTCATGTAACAACAACTCCGAAAATTCGAAATTATATTGAATAAAATTATGTCGGCATATTGTTAAAATTGACTTTTTGCGAATACAAGTAACTTGTCAGTATTTTGGAACCATAGCAATGGAAATAATAATCAACTTCTGTCAAAGTGGCGTTTAAAATCGTAAAAATTCTGACTTAATGTCGCTCAAATAATCATTACAAGTACATATATTATCAATTATGTCTTCAAGTGAAGATGATCTTCCACAAGATATTGAAAATGCAGCAACCGGCGTAATAGAAAATTTAGTACCACAGAAATCACGTGAGAGATGTCATTTAACTTATGACAAATATGAGAAATGGTGTAAAGATAAGAACATTTTAAATATTACAAATGAAAAAGCATTACTGGTATGAAACAAATAATTTTTTTATATTGAGTTCATTATTAATGTTATTTTTGTTCTGTTTTGTTAAATAAATGATTAATTTTGATTAACTATTAGTTCCGCATCATTACCGCACTATTGCGGTAATATACGTCATTACAAAATTTAAATAAATGTCAAATCAGTGTCATTACATGACAGTTGTAGATAAAATATTTATTTTTCTACACCCGTATTATAATAATGCACTTATATGCCCATAATCCGTTTCATAATGATACCCATTATGATACAGATTTTTCATTACGATACAGATTTTTAATCAATAGAAACCTACAATTTTTCAATCAAGCATGCTGTTTGACGTTTGTCCTAGGTTCCTATGTAATTGTTTTAGTTGTCAAAACGTATTAAATTTTCGTAGGTAGCTAAACTTCGATAATTATAATATTAAAATGTCTGACATTAGCGATATAGAAGACTCCTCCACACATATCGGAGAAAGCAGAAAATACAGTACAAAATATTTTGCCGCAAAAGTCTAGGGAAATACCAATACCCGAAGTAATACCATTAATTACAATTTTGTAGAATTTTTTATAGAAATACGAGTAATTACTGTTATTGTGTTCAATACCAATATAAATATAATATTTATAGGTCTTGATTATTTATCGGATGTAGAAAAAATAGCGTATGCAACTCTCATGTAATGGTTATTAAAACACTCGCATAAACCATACGAAACTCGCCTTTGGCTCGTTTCGTATCCCGGTTAATGCTCGTGTATTAATAACCATCATTACATGATCGTTGCATAATATACTAAAAAGATTCTCAGAGTAGTACAGAGAGGACACAGTAAACAATTTTTTTGTCGCCATGATATCGCATAAAAGATTCTAAATAGAGAGAAATAGATTATTATCTCTATATTTATTTTTCCAGTTATTTTTAGACAATTTTTTAAGTTTTTACTTAAATTCGTTCAACAATGGTGATGTTAAAAGTGACTTTGATTTGTAGTGTTTGTTATACTAGGAAAAGACTTGTTATATGTGATTTTAAATATAATAGAGGAAGTGAGGTTACGTTTCACTCGTTAATATTATTTCTTATCGAAGAACATGGGCGTCGTTTTAGGAGAAAAAAGGAAAATAAAATATGCATATTAAAAAAAATAAAATTATTATTAGTGTTCTAAAATACGAATTAGAAGAAACTTATGGTTAGAGGCACTTGAATGGACTGAAATGTTAGAAGTTGAACGAATATATTACATTTGTTCAATGCACTTTTAGAGGACGGCTTTGCTGCAACAAATATATTTAAAATTTTGTACGTTTCTAAATGATATCGAGCACGTTTCATCAAGTATGTATGACCATGTATTTGAACATTAAAATTTAATTTTTCTCGAAAAACGGTCGACTTTAGAGCGTATGACCAAGAGTACCTTTTTTGTGTAGAAAACATTGGCGGTTCAAATAGGCATCTCAAAACCGTACTTTTTCCAGTGGCGTAGAATTTTTTTTTTTCAATTTCAACACCCTGTATCTCGAAAATGGTGCATTTTAGAGGGTAAGTTAATAGAAACGTTTTTTCATATTTTTGGACGAGTTATCACGTCCTGAAGTCCTGCGCATATATTACGAAACACCCTGTATATTGGTTTGTTATATTCTTATTAGGAATATTTTGTCATGTTTAAATTAAATGCTTTTGTATGTATTTTTTCAGTTCTACCATTGTATAGCTTTTCAACAGGTATAGATATTTTATAGAATTCCAAATTCTTGCTGTAATTCTAAATATTTTAGAAGCAATAAAATATTTATTATATTTTTTGACATGACAATAATGTCATATTTTGTTTTCAGTTCAATAAAAACGTACCTATCTTTTAAAACATTATTTTGTACTTTTTTAATCTATTTCCAGTCACTATTTTCACATTTAAAATAACCCAATGCAATCCGTTTACGTACGCTACTGCTGAAGATTCTAATATGAGCGAGAAAGCCTGTATTCAGGGTTGCCAAATGTACGGTAATTTCGATTAGTGTACGGTATACGGTTCAAAGTCATTACCGTACATAAAAGTAATTTTAATCTTTTTACAGCACATGTTCTTTAAAAAACCTGGTTTTTACAAAAATATAAGCTAGAAGCTAGGTAGAAGGACCAAAGGTTGATTAAAATATTATGAGAACAAAAAGATATTTTTCTACAAAATAAAAGTGTACAGTATTGGGAGGCCATGTACGGTAAATAGAATTTGAAAAGTTGGCAACCTTGCCTGCATTAGAAAAAGAAACAATGATTTTATTAGAGCGACATCAACATTGTATAGATTTATACAGGGGTAGCCTATCTGGCAATATATTATCTAAGAATAAATTATGATATTTACCTGACATTTTTTGCCACATCTTGACTGTTTAATAACCATAAATGCAACAAAGGTTTTCCCAATTCGGAAGTTAAGATATAATCCCTTCCAAGTATCTCCATGCATTTGGGGGCCGTGGTACCTCCATTTTTGTAATATTTGTGCACATTTAATGTGTTGTAATCCCAAAGACAACAGGAAAATTGTTGATGTGCTTGAGCTGATGTGAGGAGTACATCACTTATGTTCATGTTTTTTTTGTCAAATATAATGTATAATATAAAGATTATAATGAAAATATAAATATAACCTTAATTAAAATGTTTGGTTATATTGATTCTTCTTCTTTTTAAAAATTATCAGGTAACTAATGGCCTCGTGAGTTTAGATTTGGGTATCTGTCAACTCCATATTTTGAGGCTGAGTTTACTAAACTGTGGCATAATTTTAATCTAATAAAGCGTTTACAAAATAAAGTTTTACAGTTAAATGTGGTAATATCTAATAAATTAGCTTGTTTTAAACGAGTTTTTTTCAGTATATAGGGCCTCTAACCTTATTGTTATTGGTATTTATTAGTTCAGAAATCAAACTATATAAAAGAAGAAGATATTGACTATACAAACGTCAATTCCAAAATTTTGTTTGTATTTTAATATTTTTTAAATGAATGTAGGTAATTTATACGTCGTTTTATATTTTAAATAAATTTTAGTGAAAATGGCAGCCGTTAAAATTGTGGAATTGGATGATACGAATACTTGTAAAATGTAAGGTTTAATAATAACTTAGAAAATGTTATATTTATATAATTAATTTCTAGTTGCGATAACGCGCTTGCTAGGTACTCCTGTCCCAAATGCAATATAATATATTGTTCATTAAGTTGCTATCAATCGAATTCGCACTTGGAATGCAGCGAAACGTTTTACAAAGACAACATTTTAGAAGAATTAAACAGCGACAAAGATAACGTCGAATCCAAAACGAAGATGATGGAAATTTTAAAAAGAGCCCATGAAGATAATCAGATAGTTTTTAGCGACAATGATGACACGTTCGGTGAATGTTCAGGCTTTAACATCAATGATTTTTTAGATTTAGATTCTGCTGACGAAAATGAACTTGATTCCGACGATGAAGAAGATATATTGGATATTGGTGATAGATTAGCTGGTATTGATTTGGACGATGCCGAGCAAGTATGGGGTAAACTGACTGAGGATGAAAAACAAGAATTTGTTGCTTTTTTAAAGTAAGATTATTTAAAATTGCTATGCTAATATAAGTTAGTAATTTAACTTGGAAATGTAACAGATCTATACTATAGTTTTTTCAATTGCTTTTTATTTTCTAAAGAGGTATTTTTATTAGTAGATATTTAGTTTTTTTTTTCTATGAAATTTTAGCAAATTTTTAATCTTTTATCTACAATAATAGGTATTTTAGCAGACATGAATCATTATGTTTGGAATTATATAATTTAAAAGCTGTGAATATTTTGTCTATGATTCTCATTGCAATAGTTAAATATTTTTGCTATAAGTACAGTCGGTACAACCCAAATGTAAATACTCTTTGGTTGTCATGGGATTTTTACTGAAATTATTTATTCTAATAATCATAATAGTTATTTGGAACGTCAGTGTATCCAGTGTTTTTGAAACACATGTACATATTAAAGCCTGCATGAAAAAGGAGAACTTGCACATTTTAGATAAAAAAAAAATAATTGTTTTTTTATATTTTATGGTTATAACAACCTACACATAAAAAAACCTGTTTCAAGTAATTTCTAACACCAATCAACCATTTATTTAAAAAGAAAAACTCTGTTGTTACATTTTAAAAAATCATTACAAAAAATGAATTGGGGTTGTGTCAGTGACCTTAAATCAGTGAAAATTGTTAGCAAAAACTGAAGAGGTGCATTTTTAATAACAGGTGTTACCCCCATGTACTTTAATTATTGTTTGCATTCTCCTTAGCATGCCTAAAATCAAACACCAAATGCCTTCTTGAGAAATAAGGTCCCATTCATCTAACAGAGCTTGTTGCAATTAATTTAAGGTTGAAGGAGCAGGAACACAACTTCTTATTCTTCACCAAGGCATGTCCCAAACATGTTCAATTGAGTTAGCATCTGCATTACTCCATGAGTAATTATAGCAATGTCAGGCCTAACATTATCATGCATCAGAATAAAGTTATCTTCAATTAAATTGACATAAGGAACAACAAAATCTTGCAGAATTTACAGTTAAGGAGCCTCCATAGAAATTCTTGCCCATACCATAACTAAGCCCCCTAGAGTTGAAAGTACATTCTGAAAAATGCTCTTGTGGTCTTTGCCATACTCTCTCACAACCATCTGGAGACCACAGACTAAATCTTGACTCATCAGTAAACAAAATGATCCCCCATTCATTGATAAACTAAAGTCGCGCGACCTGAGGACGTCTAAGAAGCTCTGGACCTGATTTCTACAGCTGTAGCATTATGATCTCACAGACTTTGTAAGATGATAAAGCGATCAAATCAAAATAGGAACATGGTCAATAACAGACTCACTAGGAGCTGTTAGAATTGAACTAAACTCAGTACAATGAAATAATTTTTAACTAACCTATCTCAACATAGCAGTGGCGTCCATTGTAAATCCGATTTTAAAAACTTAATAACAGGTTTTTTAAAAATATATATTTTTGTGCATTCAGGCAAAGTTAAAATACTAACCTATTTGTAATATGTGCAAGCATTTCAAAAACACCATTATAATTTTTCTAGATCAGAAGATATAACCAATTTAATACCTTCCTGGAAACCGTGGTGGTTGTACTATAATAAGAAAGTAGAAGAACTGGACACTACTGAAGAGTATAAGAAAAGTTGTCCAGAAATTTGTGACATCAAAGATTTTTCTGAATTGACGGTAATTGTATAAAGTGTATTTTTTGCCAGTTTGCTAAAAATCACCTTTTAGAAAAACTCTTCTTAAGAGAGAAAACTTTTTGATTTTCTAAAATCTTTTTACAGTTTTTAATGGAGAAAAATGTATTTTTTTTATTACAGGTTTAGTTAAAGAAATAAGTTTACCAATATACCAAGTAAATTAGGAAAAAACACAATTATTACAATTTTTACAATTTAATTTTATTACATCATTCATAATGCTCCACTCTTTTTACTGATCATACAGTCAGGTTATTTTTTCTTTTAGTCCAAGATTCCAGACGATTCCGTCAAATACAATCTAATAAACATACTGGCCGCGTACGCGTTCACAACCAGATATTTCAATGGGGAACATTTCGATTTTGCGCAAGAAGCCGTTAGTTGTATGGCGACCATATCGCTGGCTCTAAAAGTGGGACAAACTTTTACGGATTTCGAATCGGCTGTGATATCTGTGGAACAGGAATGCGTACACGTAAGTTTTATTATTAAAAAAAAAATACACAAAAATATTCAAAACTTGATTTTTTACAATTTTTAAATTTTTTTCAATTTTTTCTTTTTTTAATTTTCATAATTTATACAATTTTTTTTAATTTTTACAATTTTTTACAATTATTACAATTTTTATTAACTATTAATTTTTTAAATCTATTTTCTATTAATTTTATTAATTCTATTAATTCTATTAATTCTATTAATTCTATTAATTCTATTAATTCTATTAATTCTATTAATTCTATTAATTCTATTAATTCTATTAATTCTATTAATTCTATTAATTCTATTAATTCTATTAATTCTATTAATTCTATTAATTCTATTAATTCTATTAATTCTATTAATTCTATTAATTCTATTAATTCTATTAATTCTATTAATTCTATTAATTCTATTAATTCTATTAATTCTATTAATTCTATTAATTCTATTAATTCTATTAATTCTATTAATTCTATTAATTCTATTAATTCTATTAATTCTATTAATTCTATTAATTCTATTAATTCTATTAATTCTATTAATTCTATTAATTCTATTAATTCTATTAATTCTATTAATTCTATTAATTCTATTAATTCTATTAATTCTATTAATTCTATTAATTCTATTAATTCTATTAAATCTATTAATTCTATCAATTCCATTCATTCTATTAATTCTATCAATTCCATTCATTCTATTAATTCTATTAATTCTGTTAATTCTTTTAATTTTGGGCTAACGTAGAAAGTTAAGTTATTAACCAGTTTTAAAATGTACGTGTATATTTAATTATAGAGTGATTGGATCATTAGCGATACTGAAAATACCCAAACGATGAGAGAGGACCTTGAAAAAATCCTTAAAGGACCAAATAAAGCGGAAAATAAGTTTTATATATTGTGCGCCCTATCTGACGTTCATAATTTGTTGAAGGCGTCTCTTAAACCCGCGAAAAATGGTGAATCGTCAGGCGGATTTTCCAAACAATTTCCCAACGAACATTTTCCGTCTGTCAAATTGGAAGAAACGCCGCGAATTAAAAATCACTTAAAGAAAGTCGATTATTTCCTATCTTACGCTAAAGATCATTTCCAGTCGTAGAAAAAAGTCGTTATGTAAGCCTTATGGAATATTTGCACTTTATTTTTATGTTTGTATATTTGATTTTGTCTAACTTAAGATTTGAAATGTAATTTCTCAATATAGAACGTATTTTTTATTCTTAAATTGAAATTATTTAATATTAACCTTACAAATTCCTGTTTTACATTTAGGTAACTAAGTTATTAAATTTATATTTTTAACAGTTGATACTTGGTTAAAGTATCATTCAAAAACAACAAATATTGAAAGACATTTTTGGTAATTTGAACATGAACATAGTTATCGTGTTATCGATTATGTTAAAGTTTTCAGATAATTTCAATATCCACAAGGTTTCAAAGTGGCAGCAAATAACGAACTGATAATAGCTATTGAAATTCTAGAAACTTCTTATGATACAATGTACGGTAAGTTAATTTGAGTCAAGACCAACAATTTAACCTCTAATTGCTGCTAAATCCTTTTGATGCCGAATCAAAATGTTGAGTAAACCACTCGACAACTATCTGGCGCCCGGGTAATATCATTTTAGCCGCTAAGGGTGTACTATTTTTAATCAACAGTGAGACTTACAAAATGGTATATAGTACACGATATTGATCGCATTTCAAATAACGAGATTACTAGCGAACTATCCCTTATATTCAGATTTACCTATGGTGCGAAGATTGAGAAATAATTAGTTAAGACTGAATCACAACGGAAGGAAATTTCTAAAGTTTCTTTTCAATTGTGATTTGGGGTGCTAAACATTTTATTGAAACTGACTAGTTGTGGTAAATCAATTTATTCGCGGGGAGTTTAGGGCAACTACAGCTTTCTTTTTTGGCGTTGGTGTGTTTTTTTATATAATACTGCTGTCAAAAAAATAATATATCGTTATGACAGTTACCAACGCCTCTTACATACAGGTTGATTACTTTTTCTTGTTAAAAAGTAATTTTTTAACAAAGACAGTAATATCAACCATATCTGTTTAAAAAGAGTGAATCTAAACAACTGAATGACAGCTGCGATGTTAATTTATTAGCTAAGGGTACGTCGACATTTCTTTAAAACAGATTTTAAAATATTTTATGGTGACATAATTTAAAAGAAAATGCACTTATCCATCTGGCAGCCCCAAATGTGACGTTATTGAATCATAATGAAAAATAGAATATTATTTTTTTATTGAATAATAAATGTCTTTAATTTGCGGTATATATAGATCAATAGAAAATAATAACTTAAAATTTTTATTTGATACAATATTTAATTTTCATTTAACTATCTCAAAAAAACTCGCGATTCTCCCTCTAAAAGAATGTTCCGTATCATAAACAATTTTACAAATGAAATAATGATATTACATTCTATATAATAATTGCAGCTGTCTATTTTTAATCGTCTATATTTATCTACCTCTTCTCTTATTTCAAATGCATCGGCATTCTAATCAGATAATTAAAATTAAATTAGATGCACTTCATTCGAAATGTCACTAGACAAAGAATTGGACAGTGTTGAATCGCTGTTGCAAAAATTGCCGGAAAAAGATTTGAAACAAGTATGGAGAATATTATACGGGGACGGTGTAAGGTAAGTTGATTTTTTTTTATAAAAATTATAAATGTTTTTAAACGAGAAAAACATAATTTTTTTAAATTTGACTTTTAGTTCTATTAGAGAACGAATTTAATTTTTTTAGGTCAACAAATTTTAAACTAGTTATCAGGATTTGTCTTTAAAATAACAATTAGAAATTCTAGATGAATATTTTTTATATTTAAAAAAAAATAACACATTTTTTGACATAATTTATAATGCCTATTTAATGGCAAACAATAAAAAACAACAATGAACTAAAATACAACAAACTACTTATTGATATTTATTATTCGTGAATTTAATATCCAGCTTTATCTGACATTTATTTATATTGGTGACAGTTGTTTACCCCGTAATCACAGTAACAATATATTTATTCTGAGAAAACCGCGCGCTTGATAATTTGTCGTTAAATGTAATATTTTGGGTATGTTCAGAACGAAATAGAAATTTATTAACTTTGATCGAAATATGATGGTTGTAAATAAAATAGTATACAAACCTCGGTAGGAAGTTTCATTCCTGTCTCGAGATCATAGCTAACCTCGACGTCTCGGTGATCTAACTAATCTCACGACAGGAATGAAATTCTTCCCACCTCGGTGTGTAATATACTATTTTTTCTCTCAGAACAATTAATGAGCAAAGTAACCATGACAACGGCTATCATAGTTGTCATTTTATGTCTCTATCTTTCTTTCATGTATAAAAGTACTTTTCAAGTAATGATTTAACTTTTTTTATACTTAAAATCGCATTTCAGACATTCTATGTATTCCAGGGATTTAGAACTATCGGAAAAATGCCTAAAATTAGTCACGAGATACAAAATGGAGCTGGTAAAATGTAAATTTTCTTACAAAGAAGAACAACTTAGACCTCCTCGACTCGTGAGAGTAGCGCTATTCCAACAAAAAGTGCCGGTACCTCTGACATTTCCCATTTATAAAGTGAAAACTGAAATGTACACTTTAGCGATGGACGCCGTTAAAATCGCTGCCAAAGGAGGGGCGAACATATTTTGTTTCCAACAAGCCTGGAGTAAGTTTTTTATGTATTGCTCAACGAAGTTTTAAGAAAAAAATTTATTTGAAATTTCTACTAAACAATTCTATTAATTCCACCATTTGTTTACAATTTATTCTATGCATAAAAAGAATTACAATAAAATAAATTGAAAAACAATTCACACTCCGCAAAAAACATGAAACACGAAAATAAAATGACATTTGACATTAGTCCTTCTGTTGTAATTCTATGGTTTATGCCACAAAGCACGTATGCTTTAGAGACCACACGCCAATATTAAACTTGTCTCTGATTAAACTTTTAAACCTTGTGTTTGGAGCAGGAACTAAAATGACAATTGACAGATGGCGGTAAATTAATTTTCTGCTTACGACTTTTTTTTAATTTGCGCAACTGTCCGCTTGGAACCGCCATGTGACGAGCATAATAAAATCAAACTTTGTCTTCATAAACGTCGACTTACTAGATGTATTTATACAATGGTTGTACCCATTTGTCTTTTTATGATGCATGGTAAATTTATGAAGTTTTTCTCGAAGTTTTCAACGTAGCATTAAAACTATTGCAAAACATAGTAGGAAATAGAAAAACAAAACATCACAATTTAGCAAATGCCGATGACACAAAAAAAAACTAAGAAGAAACTATAAACCTAAACCAAAAGCCAAAGCCAACAAAAAAATCACTAAAATCGGACGGAAAAATGAGAATAACCAAAAACATAAATCACGTCACATCTTTAGATTCTTTGATTGCTTTTTAAGGTGAGATTACAGAACGTCTGCAACTTTGCAGATCTGCAAATATGGCGGCAACTTTGAAAATCTGCAAATATGACTGACTTACACATGCAAGTATCAAGTTTTCGTATTCCAAATTTGGGTTTAGTGTTGTTGGAGGTAATAAACCACAATAAATATTGCGAATTTGCAGATATTTTTTGGAATACTTGCATTTGTAAGTCCGCCATATTTGCAGATCTGCAAAGTTGCAGACGTTCTGTAATCTCACCCTTAACCCATAAAAATGAAAAATGGAGTAAGAAATCATAATTTCACCAGTAGCTCCATCTAGGGTTTGGAGTCAATAGCATAAGAAATGTCAGTTGTCGGTTTTGACCTTGGTCATTCAGGTGGAACCTCTATGTGCTTTGTGGTTTATGCCCTATTGCCAAGAGTAATTTTTATGTGGAGTGAATAATCTTTCTGTTAGACATAATTTTTTTTTAATTTTTGAAACTTCTTGTATTTTTCATAAAAATAAATCAAGTTATTCTTTTGCCATAGCAATAGAAAGAATAACTTGCGGTTACCCATATCCAGATCTGATAAAAGGATCCTTAATTTATGATGGAACTTAAATGTATATTATAATTTGACTAGGTTTTACAATAACTTTTAAATTATTCTGACTGTAGGCGTTTTCTAATATTCAACAAAATGATGGACTGATGATAGATCACGTGACCAATAAATTACCGACTGGTGCAATCCTCATTTTTATCTGATAAAAATTATTAAGAACGACTGACATTTGTGAGTTTGTAATCTTAACTGTCAAATTGTCTTTATTTAATGAAAACAAACAAATCTAAGCACTTTTTGATAAGCATAAAAAACTAAAAACAAGTATGGGTAATGTAATATTTGAAAAAATATGTACTTGCCTTTATTTTCTTGCTGTATGTCTAATGCTGCGGCCACACAGAGTGTGATGTTCCCAATGTTCGCTACGTCCATTAAAAATATCTCCCATTATTATAAACGGACGTGGCCACATAGATGTAAGACGCTACGTTCGCTATGTTATGTAGTGAACGTAGTGAACATAGCGTAGTGCTCAGTGTGGCCTCAGCATAATGTTGACAATCTACGCTATGTTCACTACGTTCGTTACATAACATAGCGTCTTACATTTATGTGGCCACGTCCGTTTATAATAATGGGAGATATTTTTAATGGACGTAGCGAACATCGCACTCTATGTGGCCGCAGCATTAGAGATTGGGTTAATAAAACCCAGCGAGTTTTTTACTCATTAAGAATTTTGGGCGAACTTTTCCTATTTTCTTATCTGTTTAATAATAATTAATAATTTAAGGTTATGTCACATGATCCATCAGTGCATTAACACAATGTAGTCGATGAATTTGATGACAACCATCTGAGAATTAGGTTGAATTTAAGAATATTATGTATTCATCTAAAAATCTAGATGGTATCGAAGAATATTATAAAACGCCTTGTTTGAACAAAACTTCTTTTACCTCCATATCATTACTGATTATTGCAGACATGCCATACGCGTTTTGCAGTGGAGAATCAATGCCATGGAGCGAATATGCTGAGAAAGCCGAAGAAGGTGCTACCACTAGAATTTTGCAAACGGTAAATAATTAAAATGTAGTACAGGATATTCCATTAAATTTTTTTACGGTTACAGCTCGCTTTGGAAAACAACATGGTGATAATTTCAACGATTCTAGAAAGAGATGAAAATTTCGAAGAACGAATTTGGAACACCGCCGTGGTGATAGATAACCACGGGATAGTTCTGGGAAAGCATCAAAGAAATCACGTACCGAAAGTGGAATGCTCTAACGAACCGACTTATTATTGCGAAGGGAATACCGGACATCCTGTTTTTGAAGTAAAAATTATTCATTCAACAATAAAATTTGTTCTGATCATTTTATAAACCGTCGAAGAAAAAGTATTGTATGCAACTTATCTTTATTATATTGATTTATATTTTATTTCAGACCGAATTCGGCAAAATTGGTATAAATATTTGCTACGAAAGACATTACCCGTTGAATTGGCTTGGATTGGCACTTAATGGTGCTGAAATTGTGTTTAATCCATGCGGTGCGGTAAGTTATCTAATTGTTCTCTATTTGTGATTCAAATTTTCGCGCGCCTGTCATTTGTCATCTTTAAGTAGGATATTTGTTTATTAATATTGTTTTTGATTTTTTTGTTGTTTTTAAATATTATTATAATAGTGTTTTTGAATTTCATTTAGTGTTAATTTAAGTTTAGCTCCATAAACGAAAGGTTATGACCAACGAAGGTAACGAACAGCGCCAATTCGACAGTTGGTTAACTTACTGTGTTGATGTTTACATACTTAATAGTTAAAACCTAGTAGAATGGGTAGTTAGTATAGGTGCCCTCCTTGAGCTAACGAACAGTGCCAAATCACCAGTTGGATAGCTAACTATTAAATTTCACCATCTAGATTTGCGTAAATTTGTGTGTATAAATAATCTAAGACGTTACGTATCTGTATATTTCTAAAATATTTTTATATTTTTTATTAAAATAACCCAAATTTATTCATCGAAAAACAGTTGCGGACACTTTTAGTATCGTCATATCTCTATTCTATCTTAATGGTTTTATAGATTGGCCAAGAAGCGGAGCTGCTGTGGACCGTAGAAGCGAGAAATGCGGCTGTAGCAAACGGATATTACGTTTGCGCTATAAATCGAATTGGAATGGAAATTTACGAACATGAATACGAAGACGAACAAGGAAATTTGGTGCATCACGAGGATTCAGGATTGTTTTTTGGGTCCAGTTTCGTGTCTGCACCCAATGGATCCAGATCGCCTGTAAGTAAACACATAAAAAGAGTAAGAGACCTACTCTAGTCGGAGATGATCCCATCGTTGTGTTGAAACGAAATTTAAATTTCAAAACGAAGATTATATTGACATTTTTACATTAACAATGTCATTTTAATCTTTGTTTCGTAATTTAAACTTCGTTTAATACAAATTTAGAATCGGATTTTCATTAGTAATCATATTCTTTCCCTTTCTGGTATATGACAAGCTCTGATTTAAGGGATTCACTCGTAAGGAGGCGAAGTCTTCTTCTATTGACGTTTTTATAGTAATCTATTTGTAATAATTTATTTCTTCTTATTTTGTTTTATGGCCTCTACCCCTTGGGTATTTAGCATTCGGCAAATTTGCTTTTATTCTCATTTTAATTACTATTTTACTAGCAAGAAGTCAAAATGATATACTCTATATCACCGTAAAGCTTGATTACTAAACGACATCTTGGATAGTGACATTTTTGGAATGGAAGGGATTAGCGAAAGCTATTTGTAGGTGACAGTAACTCTACAAGCACCCTATTTGTTTTGAACGTCGCGGACCAGGCTACTTTCTACACCCACATTGGTAATTAAAGAGAAAAAAAATTCAGTAAAAGTTCCCAATGGAAAGTAATTGAAGGCCAAAAGTACGAACTTTCTATCATCTTTTTCTTCTTCTTTATTTTCTGATTTGGTCACTGACTGCATTAGTAGTCAGCACCTTTTCTTCGTTTAAAAGTTGGGATATTATAACCGTGAAATACTTCTTTTTCATTTTTAGGGCCTTTCTAGGACCAAGACTGGCGTTCTAATAGCGGAATTTGATTTAAACTTATGTCGACAAGTGAAGGACCGAAAAGGATTAGAGGTGAGAACCTATTAAATCCAGTATTTTATTATTATTTTGTTAACATTATTTACTGTTTCAGTTAATGCATCGATTGCCGCTGTACAGAGATTTACTTTCGAAGATAACCGCGACCAATTTCAAACCGCAAGTAATAAAAAAGCACTGTCAATGTCAAACTACGTGATTTTTTTTACTATTTTTTTTTATTGTTGAAATAAATGATATTTAATTATTATTTGACTAGTTTGAATCATTGTACCAACAAATCCACTGTCAAAGAAAGGTTGATCCTGCCGGAAAATTTAAAATTATCCGACATGATTCGTCAGAAAAGTTCAATGTTTCCGGATAATTCTTAAGGTCTTTTTGCTCTCCTCTTTTCAGTTTTATCCGGAAAAGCCTTCGATCCAAAATGTTCTCTAATTTTCCTGAGAAATGAGTATGACGTATTTGAAAAATTTGGGCGCCAGATTGTGATGAATGTCGAGTTGTATGTCTGAATTTTTAGTTTTTTCGGAAAATTCGTAGGAAAAGTCGGAAAATTTGAAAAATTTTAAAAATATTTTAATTTTTCATCAAACGAAAGAAAATTTTCCAGAAACGAATAAAGCCACTGTCGAAAAAAAGTAGGTCCACCTGAAAAGGTATACAAAACCATTTTCCCAAAGGGAAATTTAAATTTTTTGACATGACCCGACAGAGAAAATTTCAATATTACGGGCGCGAACTAACCCATCAACTTTCATAACAGACGGACAACGTATAGTATCTTAGTAGATTTTGTTGAATGAGAACTTACATTAGCATTAGTCGTAAAAAAATATAGTTTCCTAGTAGAATCTGTTGGATGAAATCTTACGTTTACTAAAATTGGTCGTAGAAAAGGCATTGTTACTCAGTAGATTTTGTTGTATGAAAACTATTATTAGCATTGAAGTATCCTAGTAGATTTTGTTGAATTAATTCTTATATTTACTAGAATTAGTCGTAGAAAAAGTATTGTAACCCAGTAGTTTATTGAATAAAAACTTTCGTTTATTATTATTGGTTTTGTTAAATGATAAACTTACTTTGGTATTGGTCTTTGAAAAAATAAAGAATCAGTAGATTTTGATGCATGAAAACTTACATTATTAGCATTGGTCGTAGAAAAAATATAGTATCCAGGTAAATTTTGTTAAATGAAAACTTACATTTGCTTTTTTCATAGAAAAAAAACCTATTATTTTCCTCATTCGAATTGGATCAATAGCAACAAAGCTATAGACTTAGACCCTTTTGGCAGTGCCATTGTGTATGATTTTTGCCTTCAACCAAATCAATGTTGCGCCTCCTTCATAATGCCGTTTGTTCCATGCAAATCGAACCAACAGTAACAAAGATATAGACTAATGCCTTTTTGGCTTTGTTACTGCGCATGATATAATCCGGCTCGAAGGACCATGTGAAATAATTTTATGCTAATTTATGATAGGATTTTTAGAAAACATGAAGTAGAACGGCTAAAATGAATAGTATGGAGTCGAAATGGTGATGCGACTGTTTTTTCACCTTTATTGGATTAAAAAATGAGAAGTAGGGCTTATAAAACATAACAATCTTATTTAATATGAAGGTCATTGTAAAGAGTGATCAACAAAAAAAGTTTCTAAAGTAGGACATGACCGACAAAGACATGATTCATGTGATAATTACTCGTGACTCTGATCTAAATACAAGGTGACACTTAAAAAAAAAGAATTGTTCTCTTGACATACTTTAGAAACATTTTTTTTGGATTACTCCTGATAATAAATACAGGATGGTGCTAATATTACTGAAATTAATTTTATTAGGTACTTACAAAGTTACTGCTCAATTTTGCTTCTTATAAATATAAAAACAAATAATAAAAATTATAGTAAATACGTTTTTATTTAATTTACAATTGTTTGCACGCTTTCCTTATAATTTGAGGTGTGAACTCCGATCTTGTAGCTCTGGACAGCAATTCCGCATAGAGATCCAACCTTTGAGACATCTATAAACAAAAACATTCTTTTACATAAATATCTATATATACAGGATGTTTCTTTTTGACAAAAGATCCTGAATCTCGATTATTACCTGAAATCCCCATTGGTCTTTCACTTGTCGGCAAAGGTTCAAATCCATCTCGGCTATTAGAAGACCATTTTTGGTTCGAGAAAGACCCTGTAACAAGAATTATTCGTTTTACTATTTCATCTTGTACGGGCCGAACCTAAAAGTATACTTACAGGTGATCGAGTGCCATTAGGCGCTGTTACGTAACTAGAGCCGAAATAGTAGTCGCTTTCTCTATGAGGAGCCTTTCCGTCACCTGAAGTGAAGTCGTTTTCGAATATTTCCGTTCCCACTCTATTGACGGCGCAAGTAAAAAATCCGTTAGCAACAGCTGCGCTTCTAGATTCGATTGGCCATAGCGGTTCGTTTGCAGCGCCGCCCTGTAAGTACAATTGATATGGTATAAGGAACCTTCAATTTTAAAATTTAGTTAACAAACAGATGAAGAGACTGACATATCCTTTGTATGTTGATGACTATCTCCCTAGACCAAATATCAGCTACTATTTATCTAGACATATACATAAAATGTTGGTTGCAATAAGTACTTACAGCTGCAGCTGGATTGAACACAATCTCTGCACCATTTAGTCCAAAAATTAAGGAATTAACTGGATGATGACGGCTGTAGCAAACCCCAATTTTCCCGAATTCAGTCTATAAACAATTAAATATAATGTAGAAGGAATGTTAGTAATAAATTTCTGAACAATAGAGTTAACAATTTGTTATTTACATTGTTGAAAAGACAAAAAATGTACTACAATAGAGAAGATTGATTTGGATAATGTTTCAAAAAAAAAAAAAATAGTTTAAAAAATCAGTTGAGCTATCGAATCCTTTCTTATATCTACCCGCAGTTATATCTTTATCGACCACTAGAAATCCATGCTTTTCAACCCAGTATTCCGTACACATTTCCTGAAATTTCTGAATATATGTGACGTAGATTTAAGTCTTCTTGTTTAAACATAATAATAATATTTGCATTGTCTCTAATCAATTGTTTCGGTATCTTTGAATACGTTTGAGCCAAATAAAAGCAATCTGTGTCGCCCCATACTAAAATGTGATCTAATAACATTTTGATGTTAAACTATGGGATATTTTTGTATCGTTTCAAAAATATATCAAGAAAAGTCTCTATGAGAAACGTTACAAAAAAGACTGATAATGTTTCACGTGTAGTGGGGTAGGTTTAAGTCATCTTGTTTAAACATAATAATTAGATTTGCATTGTCTCTAATGAATTGTTTCGGAATCTTCGAATACGTTTGAGTCAAATAAAAGCAATCTATATTTTTGTGTCGCCCCATACTACATCTTGCTTTTCACAAATCACATCATCAAATATAAATATAGAATTCGATTTGGCATCTACTGGTTGAATTATATCATTATTATTGAACGTAAAATAACCTAACCTTTTTATCGGTATCAAAACTTCATGCAAGTTTCGTACTTCTTCTGGTATAACAATTTTGTTTTCAAATCGTAGCCCAACTGGTTTAATGAGTAGTGATAACATCACATTTGTTTTACCGTAATTTGATGGTCTTATTAGAAGGCAACAGAGGGCCGTGTCTGGGAACCTATTTTCACTAACTCTATCACCAACTTTTTCATCTAAATTCTCTACACAAATACTAATTTGTGCTTTGACTATGCGCATCGTTTGACTGTCTTTAGTTATACAAGCGATCATCCCATGTAATATTCATTTAAATGTCTATCATCAAACGAGTGCGACCTATCATCAAGCGTTATTCAAAAAAACAGTGTGGAAGTGGGTTTGTTGATTCCTTAATAAATAAATTACCATTTAAACTGCACATACTTGGATATCAATATTGTGGGCCAGGTACGCGCTTACAAACACGTTAAAAAATTAGTAATCCAAAACGGTAAGAGTAAGAAATTTTTGATTTTCACCAGTGAAAAGAGAAATAAATTTGCTACAAATTAAGTACCTACTCACCTCGAAAACTGGATGGCCTGAATTACCTTCCGAACAGTAAATGGCTTCGTTTATATCTCCAGCTCTGGGAATATGATTCTTTCGTTGCTTCCCTAAATAGTCACCATGATTATCAATTACTACAGCCGTATTCCAAATTGAATCGTTATGAATTTCATCGCGTTCCAAAATTGGAGATATTATGACCATATTGTGAATCTGAGCTAACTGGAATACAAAGTAAAATCTTGAGATTTACAGATTGTAGATAGTTTAAATATCACAATATTTTTAAAACGGTTTAAAGCTTGCACCGCAGTGATATCTATATGAAACAAACTTACTGAAGGTTATCAATTATGTGGAATCAATACACTAGTTTAGTGATGACGTAATTATGGTTCCACTGACAATTAAAGTGACAGAAGATTTTTTGAGTGCGTTTTGTTTACCTAAATTATATCGTTTTTCAGTTTTATAAATATATTCAGTAAGTAGATAACATGCATCAAATATACAATCATTTAGTTACGATTACATACCTTTAAACTATTTTTTATGACCTGTAAACAATATCTAAAAATAAACTAAAAACAGTAGAAACGTATATGCCAAATTTATTGATGTTTTTGTTAAAAGTTTGGTTAGAATTAAATGTTAGTGGAACCTAAATGACATCACTAGCGTATTCTGAGGCTTGAGATCTATATATGAATACTAGATTTATAGACCTATATAGTGTTATTTAAGTATAAAAAAATGTTTTTAAAAAATATATTGTAATAAACTGATATTAAAGACACATATTAAATATCCACTCAGTATAATGTAAATAAATCAGTTTTACTGTATTAGCAGCACATCTTAACAGTGGGATTCACACAGAACCATGAACAACAATTGTCAACTGTCATACGTCATCGTACAGTACCAACTTAAAATAATAATTATTAGTTAGGCATTTTATAGAGGTTCTAACAATATGTTGCAGAAATATTTGCACAAATACGGTATTATACATTTATAAATATTATTGACCATTATTTAGTTAGTGTTTTGTTCAAAATTTCAAGTTTTTAATAAAATAAAAATGCGTTATGATCAAACGTACCTCTTGTAACATTTTTGTCGTTGGTCCGAATTGAGCACTTTCAGCATATTCGCACCAAGGTGTCTTTTCTCGAGTACAAAAGGCGTATGGCATATCTGCAAAGTAAATTCTGAATTACTATACCATCAATAAAACTTACCACTTACCAAGACAAAAACCATTTAACACAAAGACACTTGGAAAAGGTCAGCAACTTCATACATATAACAAAATAGATGAAAACCAAAGACAAATTAATAAACTCGTTGAGGTCCTGTTGATGAAAATGTCATATACTTACTCCAGGTTTCTGGAAAGCAAAAGATGTTAACGCCTCCTCTGGCTGCTATGCGTACAGCCTTATTGGCGAACTTGAAAAGAGCGTATTTCATTTCTTGGATAGGAGTGGAAGTGGGAAAAGGCACCAATTTGTGTTGGAAAAGCCCAACGCGAATCACTTTGGGACTCCTCAGTTGCTCGTCTTTGCAGTTGAAGCCGCATGCCACCAATTCTATGTTGTATTTCGACGCCAACTCTTTGGATTCTTCTGATACTTCGATTTCACTGAAAAATAGGGTTAAACTAATGTTGCCAAATTATATTCACTTTTATATTCGGTGTAGATCTTGGTATATAAATAACTATTATTAAAATTCCTTCGGCATCGCTTGCTGGACCCCTGACTACTGACTACGTACCATTCTTTAAGTCGAGAGGCATGGTTATTTACCTTTAACTTTTTTAGTGACAGTTCTATCTATCTGAAGCTCTAGGTTTATTGTACCCTTTACAGTTTCTACCCTTTCAGATTGATTTTCTTGATGAATTCAAGAATATGTCTAATTGACGCTTTCGCGATTTCTTCAGGTTCCGGATATTGTACCCCGAAATGCCATTCCCGTTCCCATTTAAGGTTCCGACAGTGGCATAGTATGTGAATAGGAGTTTCGTCGTCCTCTTCACATATTCTACATAGGGGTCATCAGATATCCATAAGCGCCAGTTAAAAATAGTAAAAATTAATGTAGTATAAAGTTGTAGATGATATCTTTCATATATTTTTTAAATTTCAAAATTGCATGGTCGTAAATAGCACAAAATTATATAAACATTTAATTATCTCCATTTGATGCGTCCAAAAAAATTGCTTAATTTACCGTTTTTTAACTATATACGTCGATATCATAAAAACTGCAAAAATTCGTGAAAATTTATTCTTGATTATTTCTAGATGAATACTTAAGGATTCTAACGGTTGTCAAATAATAATTTTATCTTAAATCATAAGAAAGATAATAAAAAAACCGTAGACTCCTCGCTCCTCGCCTTGAAACCATTTCGATTCTATACCAAATTAATTTTTATAAACAAATATACAAAAGGTCTTTACAAAAACATACCTTAGACCAAAATAAGTCGATTTAAGTAAAATTACCTTAGTACAAAGTTGCTTCGTTTGGGCTCCAGAGGGCCTTGAAGTTACAATTTTTAAATCGTTTTTCCCATATAAATTTAAAACGGCACATGCGATTTTGCTGAAATTTGGTATATTGGTAGAGTTTTATGTGGCAAAAAAAATGGTATTAAAATTTTGTCCGATAATAATACATAGGCGTAGAACTTGATTTTTTAAATAATTGCATCTTTAAAAATTCTACGCCAATGGAAGAAAAGGAGTTTGAGTATGAAATTTAGATTGCGCAACTCATTTACTTTAAAAAAGGTACTCTTGATAAGACTCGATTACTCTCATGGTTTTCGCTAAATTTCTGTTTTAATAATTTAGAGTGTATAGATTTCACAAAAATATTTATTTACAACATAATCAAAATAGAGATTTTACAAACATTGTTCAAAATCTTCACCATTTTCACTCATACAAAGAATTATACGTCGAAGAAAATTAAAATGTATCCTTTCCATAACTTCTTCATCACCTCTAAGATTGTTTATTGCATCTTGAATACGTTGCCAGAGTTGTTTATCATTTTCTACAGGTTCCCTGTAAACTGTGGATTTCAGATGTCCCCATAAAAAGTAATTCATCGGTGTTAGGTCTGGGGAACGTGGTGGCCAGTTTACAGGTGCGTCATTACCTCTGCCTATCCATTTGTGTGGATATTGTTCATTCAAGTGGTTTCTAACGTTTAAAGAAAAATGTGGTGGAGCTCCATCTTGCATAAACCACATATCTCTCCGAAATTGGAGAGGTAAATCTTCTAACAATTCTGGCAACGTATTTTGTAGAAAATCTAAATAATTTTCTCCAGTTAATCTTCGTGGAAGTATGACAGGACCAACAATGAAATTACCAATTATTCCAGCCCACACATTAATTTTGAATTCGTGTTGAAAATAGTTTACCTTTATTGCATGCGGATTTTCAACGGCATAAACATGTTCATTATGGGTATTAGTTATACCTCTTCTTGTAAAACCCGCTTCATCGGTAAAGAGAACCTTCTTGACAAAGTTTGGATCTCTTTCTCTTTGCATATTAACAAATTGACAAAAACCTAAACGAATTTGAGGATCATGGACTAATAATTCTTGTACTGGCTTCTTATGGTATGGATATAGCAATTGTTCTCTAAGCACTTTATGAACGACATCTTTACTTACTCCTAGTTCCCTTCCAATTCGTCTGGTGCTTAATTCTGGATCTTCTTCAACACGTTCTAAAATGTCTTCTTCAACTTCAGGAATCCTTACAAAACGTTCTCTTCCAGTATCAACAGTGTTAGGAGCAAAGGAACCGGTCTCCCGAAGACGTCTCTCAACAGCAGTAAAAGTTGGGTGGCTAGGTACACGACGATTTGGAAACCTTTCAGAGTACACCCTGACACACTCTCGAATATTTCCTTCACAAAATCCTAATGTCAGTAACATATCGGTATATTCTGCATTGGTATATTGTACAGCCATATTAAACCACGCATTTGTTTTTTTTTTAAATTTTTGAGTCAGATGGAACACTTTCGATCGTTAACAAGAGATTAGGTGTTAAAACATTGACAATATTTTTATTTAGATGAAACTATGGAAACCAACAATAAATGTTTTTGTATACGTATTGCAGGAAAATAATTAATATTCCTCAAAAATCGTACATGGCAAGAATCGAGTATTTTTGTTAAAAGTCTCGATTAGAGGTGTTGAAGAAAATATGAAAAAAGTACATTTTTATGTTTTTCATCGTATAAAATTTTGTCCGATAATAATACATAGGCGTAAAACTTGATTTTTTAAATAATTGCACCTTTAAAAATTTTACGCCAATGGCTAAAAAGGGGTTTGAGTATGAAATTTGGATTGGGTACTCATTTACTACAAAAAAAGTACCCTTGATAACACTAGATTTACTCTCATGGTTTTGACAAAGTTTATATTTTAATAATTATTGTTTATGTTCTAAAATTACTAAAATGCAAATTTCGTCAAAACCATGAGAGTAATCGAGTCTTATCAAGAGTACCTTTTTTAAAGTAAACGAGTTGCGCAATCTAAATTTCATACTCAAACTCCTTTTCTTCCATTGGCGTAGAATTTTTAAAGGTGCAATTATTTAAAAAATCAAGTTCTACGCCTATGTATTATTATCGGACAAAATTTTAATACCATTTTTTTGCCACATAAAACTTTACCAATATACAAAATTTCAGCAAAATCGCATATGCCGTTTTAAATTTATATGGGAAAAACGATTTAAAAATTGTAACTTCAAGGCCCTCTGGAGCCCAAACGAAGCAACTTTGTACTAAGGTAATTTTACTTAAATCGACTTATTTTGGTCTAAGGAATATGTGGTATGTTTTTGTAAAATCCTTATAACTGAATATACGACCATATTTTTGTTGAGATACCTAATGTTTTTTTTTTAAATCTTAGGTCCCTTTTTTCAGTCTATATTGTGTTGTTTTTTTATTAAAAAAATACAAACTTTATTTTGCAAAAGTTTAGACTGTCATTAATTATTACAATACCGATGAAATAATGATATTATTTTAAATGAAGGTACACTCATTTTTATAGTATATACCTCTCACAAATTACTTTTAAATAATTTTTCAATGATATATATGTTTTATTTGCCCCAGAGCTATGGAATTTAATCTTTGCTACAAGGAAATCTCTACTCAAACTTACTGTGTTTCATTTCCGTATAGAATTTTTCTGACTCTATCGTAATCCTCCTTGGGTAGCTGCCTGAGAGCACCGTCAACACTTTCGAATTCTTTGATTTCGGACATTATTAACTTGTGTTTTTTTTTATGAAAACACCTATAATTTCCGGTATTATGAGATTATAAGATATTAGATAAGACTAAAGCTGATACTTGATCGGTGCATACTGGTTAAAAATAGTCGATGGTCTACTGGGAGAAAATAATGCGATCAATTTGGCACCATCATTTTGATTCGGTGCCATTTTATTGCTGCATTCTTCATTTGGAACATTGATGATAAAAATCGCATTCCAATGTACTAGTATATACATACAGTATGGGACAAATTATTTAAATTTATAAAAATGTATACAGCAAAATAAAATAGTAGCTGACTAATATTTGTAAAGTTGCAACTTGTTACAGAGGTATAAAATACATATAAAAAGTACATATTAATAATTTAAAGCATAACTTTACAATGAAACGTCAATAATTATTTATTAGTTACTGATAGACCAAAGAGTAAAGTCTTGGAAATACCCTAAGTCCATTGGCTTTCTTTATTGTTTAAATATAAAATTGATAAAACAAAAAGTTACTAGATTTTGGCAAGTCTTAGATTAATTACATCATGTTATTATGTCAGGAGGCAGTTATCAAAACAATTTCGAATTATTCAATTTGTTAAAAATTTGTATATTTTTATAAGTATTCAACAAAATGGTGAAACGATTTAGTGATCAATTAAAACTTTTAATCCTAAATGTAGTTTCCTATTTTAAGAGACACAAATCTATTTGCTAGGCTCTCGGAAAGGTACAATCAAATGGCTGCAGAGGTATTAAATATTTCGCAGAAAACTATCTATAGATTAGTAAACCAACAAATTCTGATACAGAGTATGTGAAAATAATGTCTAAAAAAGTAAGCCAAAGTAAAACAAAAGGCAATTATTTAATATTAAGTAAGTTAAGGCAAGTTATATATGAGATATACTGTCACGATTCGTATAAATTCATATTTTTCCTAATTTTAATTAATTATTTAAATAACATCCTGTACATGAAACTTTGTTTAATTATGTCAACAATTTGTTTTAAATAGCAATAATGTGCAAGGTTGGTTATTTAATAATTATTAAACATTAGTTTTAATAACAATAAACTATGAGAAAGTCATAAAGGTAATGTCGAGGGGATGCACGAGGCTTTTTCCACCTCCTCCCTTTAGGAGATCCCCTTGTAGGAGATTCCCTGTAGCAGCTTCAGGTCATAATCTTTATAGTTTAAATTAAAAGTCGTTTTTTAGTATTTCAAATAATTACATTTTTAAATAGTTTGTTAAAGGTTGTGACATGTGCCCCAAAGATTAGCGGAGTTGGTAAGTAAGTATTTTGTTGTCTTTTATATTATATTGAGCCTATAGTTGTGTATGTCGAGTTGAGACATATTTTATATAATCGTTGTAATTATAATATTATATTTGTTTTGAGAAAACATTGTGTTTCCTTCAGCCCTTTTACAGAGACGTGTCAGGTTCTAACATCAAAAGTAGAACCCTTATACAGTTAAGGGCTACGAAGCCAAGTTTAAGGCTAAATAGTGTTAATGTGATTGAGTCCCAAATTCATATATTTTGTTATGTAACCCCCGGGACATCGATAGTCCCACAATTATTTAAAACACGTTAAACGTGACATTTCTTTATAAAAAACACGTATAACGTGACAATACGAAGCTGTGCAACATGTAACCATAAAAATTTTTATGTACCCTTCTCTATTGGCTCCTCTAGAGTTATCAAAGCTATACGAGTTGGACATTTTATGTGGAATCGGATATGTCTGTCATCTGAACATGATAGTTCATTAGATATATGCTAACTGTTGATTTGGTCATTTGCCCCACTCGCGCATAGTGACAAAAGTTGGTTTGTTGCTTTTATTGGTCAACAAAAAAAAACTTAGGGCAATTTTACCCTAAACCCCCCCTAATTTACCCACCTACAAAGATGATCAAAAACTAAGGGTTACTCCAATAAATAGGGCGTAAAAGTAAGCATTTGTACCAAATGTCACTTAGTTATCTTTAAAAGTTTAGAAAATATTTACAAAAGAGTGTCATCAGGACTTCACATTTTACCCCCTGTATCTCGGAAAAGAAACGTTTTCGGACCTATGTTTATATAAACTTTTACTTCTATTTTAGGATGTAGATTATGCTGTTAAAATATGACCCTCTAATTTCGGGACACCCTGTATACAGGGTGAGCAATTTTTAAAATAAAAATTATTTTTAAAAGTCGGCACCCAGACAGCACACCAAATCCCTTGGATATCTACTGAACATCCCAATATCCAGTGAATGTCCAGTCCATGGTAGATATCTATTTTATATCCATAAAATTTAATTTATAGACATGCAAATGTCCATAAATAATAGTAATTATATAGCAAATTATTAAAAAATTACGCCATTGTGCTCGCCATTGTGGCTAATAGTACCGTCCAGATATTTAAAATTAATTTTTTTAAGGTGTATTCAATATCCCATGAACATCCACTAAATATATCAAAGTCTAGGCGCGAACGCAAACCATCGTTGATATCCACTAGATGTTATTTGATTCTGCTTACTAAGTATAGATGGCGATACCACTATCGCATCTACTCATGCTCGACCCGCCGTAATTGAGTTCGATCGAAATGTGTGTCCTAATCACTCTATTAGAGACTGGAGTCGAGAATTTTCATTTATTGCTGAAGAGTCCTAAAAGGATAACTTTCTACTAAGTGGGCAAAATCAAAGGCAGAGTGTTGAAAATATTTTGAGTGTTGAAAATATTTTTTATCTCTGCTATTTTCTTTCGACGTTATTCAATAATCATTGGTTACTTATGAACCTCTACTAAAGATACCCATAAAATGTTTTGCTGAATATCCGAATATCTTCTATATCCTGGGATATAGACGGCCATTTGGTTGGATATCCATATTGGATATATTGAATATCCACAAAATATATTCTGTGGATATCTCTGCGATTTCTTGTATTTTCTGGAAGATACTCATTAGATATTTTGCTGAATAACCATTAGGATATCTTCTATATCCTGGATATAGACGGACATTTGGATATCCATATTAGATCCACGGAATATTTCTAATATCCTGTGGATATATTGGATATCCACAAAAGATATTCTGCGGATATCTCTGGGATTTGGTGTGTTGTCTGGGCAGATTTCAACTAAAATTGGAATCCAAGAATTTTAGAAGCCAAAGATTTCAGATCCTAAATATTTTTTTATAAATTCAAAATGGCACTGAAATAAATCGTATTTATTCAAAAAGGGCCCCCTTGAATGAAAATAATAAAAATTGTCCTTTTGGTTTATGTAACTGGACCATTTTAAAAGCAGCCAATCATTATTGTTCAATAACGGTGATCGTGGAGAAGAATATTGAGAATTCGGGTGGGATTAAGAAGAAGATAAGAAGATCGTGGAGAGAGAAATGTGAAAAAGGATTTTTCGTTTGGTGCTTTAATTTTAAATTATTAAAATTTAAGTGCTTAGGAGTTTCCTGTTTTTACAATTTCTATATCGAGGGAAGTTCTGTGTAAAATACTTTACCGATTTTTTATTTTGTTTTATATATTTAATACGTATTCTATCAAAGTGCAACTAATAATTTAACAAAATGACTACTTAGGTTACCTAATGTCAAATAATAAAAAGTTAACGACTATTATAATGTATTTTTTTCTAATTTATGTTCATCTCACTCCGTAAATGGTTTTAAACTGTTGAGTGGTGTACTAAATAAATAAGATTTACAGGAATTACAGGGCCATGATCCCACCTAGTGCCTGTATTGTTCAGAATCTAATCTAAAAATATTTACAAATCACATAAAAAAATATTATCTGATAAGCCAGCTACTTGGAAAACAATAATCTATATCTAATTTATCTAATACAAGATTAGAAACATTATTATTGATACTATTTTTAAAATTACCCATCAGTGTAATCACTAAAACAATATGAAAAACTTCGCTAAACGCTAACAAAACAATATGGCGTCCTTCATACAAGAACAAAATGAAATTCGCGAAGACTATGTGGATGAAAATAAGTTCAAAAGAAAATTTACTTGGAGAAGTGTAGTGTGCAAAACCTCAGTGCAAGGGTGGATGTTTATAGTTGCATTTGCTGTGATTGTGCCAGCTTTAACGTACTATTTAGTTATTAACAAAGGATCTTATAAACTAGTTGACACTTACACTTGCTACGTGAATTCTACATTCAGAGTATCGTGCGGTAAAGTGAATATAACAGAACATGATTGTGTTAATATAGCTTGTTGCTACGATAAACCTACTAAAAAGTGTTACCATTACTTACCATCAAGATATTCCTACGATTTAGTAAAAGGATCTTACAAAGCATCACGTACTAGATCCCCATATAGCACTTTAAATTTAAATAATTTGAAGTTATCAGTAAACGAAATCAATTCAGATCAAGTCAGCATCTATGTGCATCAAGAAAACGAACAACTACCTCAAGCTATTCCAACAAAAGATAAGAATTATGTCGTTAACAACGTTAAAGAAAAACTTATGGTTGAAATTTTCAGACCAGATGGTGATTTACTCCTTTCTACAGCCAAGGGACCTCTGATTGCATCGGAAAATTACTGGGAATGGACTATATATCTATCCAACCATTCTATATTTGGTATAGACCAAAGTTTGATAAAGTTAGATGAAAATTCGACTCTAACGAAAGTGTTTTATTTCAATAAAAATGATCACAGTTCGTTACCAGTATTTTGGGCTTACAAAAACGGGAAATTTCACGGGGTCAGTATTAACCACGATGGACCAATTGAAATGGTAGTTTTGCCTTCTAATATGGTGGTGTTGAAAAGTTTGACAGGCGGATTTATAGAGGTGACTCTATCGGTGGGACCAACTCCCAAGTTGTTGCATGATCAACAAAGGCAAGCTGATGTGGAAGTACCGTCTTGGTTAATGGGAACACACGTTTGCAAGTAAGTATAAGTTTTACTTTTCTATGATATTCACTATGATATTATTAGTGATGACGAAATTAGTGATTCACTGACAATTGCAGTTGTGATGGTACAGTTCTTGATATTTTCTACATCTCCATTTATTTAAAATAATAAAATAAAAATCATCTTTTCAATACAAAGGTTATTTATTGAATCCTTTCTTTATACGATCGCTAATTTCAACAGGATAAAGAATTGCTGTCTCGTGTTGAATTAATAATATAAATACTTATATTATTGCATCTCTCACGGAGAAAGGAAAAAAAAACGTATTTGTCCATAAAGAGAAAGGTAAATATTTTAACCCTATACCCAAGGATCACAAAACACCCATATAATATGGGTCTTGCGACCTTTATAATCGAGTTACAGGATGTTTTTTGAAAATACCTCTCTTGAGAACAGATTGGGTTTTATAATCCAACATTTTTCTGCAATGAATTTGGAATGATAATGTTCCTACGATTTTTAAGGTAATCTTGAAGCGAAATATATTTTATTATTTCGAGAGATTGTATATGAGTAAAATCGTCACTTGTAGCAGTATAAAAAGATACGAATTTACCTACTATCTTTGATACTGTGTTGATAAGGTTACTCATCCAAGTGCTAACCGCGCCTTACACGGCTTAACTATGGTGATCGGACAAGATAATAGTATATCTTAATCTCTTTCTTTAGCTTGGGGTAGCGGTCTGACGGCCCCCTCATTCTTATCTTAATAAGTCCATAAAAACAGAAAAATCATCAAGAATCTCTCGACTGCCTCATGATCTATATTTATACAAGAATAGCGAACGTCTATTCTGTTAATTCAAACAGTAGAGTTAAGACAAGGTTAAATGAACATTTCGCCTCAATAAAATTGCTTGATTTGCTCTTAGAAAATACCGCCCAGTATTTTAAAAGATATTATTTTTACATAGAATTAGTACAAGAGTATTTAGAAGAGATAACACACATTCTTATCTGAATTAAGTCCATAAAAAGAGAAAAATCATCAAGAATCGCTCGACTTCCTAATGATCTATAATTATACAAGAATAGCGAACGTCTACTCTGTTAATTCAAACAGCAGGGTTAAGAGAAGGTTAAATAAGTATTTTGCCTCAATGAAATCGCTCGATTTCCTCTTAGAAAATACCAACTGCCCAGACAGCACACCAAATCCTTTGGATATCTACTGAACTTCCCAATATCCACTGAACGTCCAGTCCATGGTGGATATCTATTTTATATCCATGAAATGTAATTTATAGACATGCAAATGTCCATAAATAATTGTAATTATATAGCAAATTATTAAAAAATTACGCCATTGTACTCGCCATTGTGGCTAATAGTACCGTTGAGATATTTAAAATTAATTTTTTTTAAGGTGTATTCAATATCCCATGGACATCCACTATAAATATAAATATATCAAAGTCTAAGCGCGGACGCAAACCATCGTGGATATCTACTAGATGTAATTTTTGATTTTGCTTCCTAAGTATAGATGGCGATACCACTTTCGTATCTACTCATGCTTAACCCGCCGTAATTGAGTTTGATCGACATTGTTTCACAAACAGACTTCATTAGAGACTGAAGTCGAGAAGTTCCATTTATTGCTGAAGATTCCTAATAAGGATGGTTTTTTCCTTAGTAGGCAAAATCAAAGGCAGATTGTTGGGAATATTTTTTACCTCTATTTTCTTTCGACGTTATTCAATAATCATTGGTTACTTATGAACCTCTACTAAAAATAATTATAAAATATTTATCTGAATTTCTATATCCTGGGATATAGACGGACATTTGGTTGGATATCCACAAAATATATTCTATGGATATATCTGCGATTTCTTGTATTGTCTGGAGATACTCATTAGATATTTTGCTGAATATCCATAGGATATCTTCTATATTCTGGATATAGGCGGACATTTGGATATCTATATTAGTTCCACGGAATATTTCTGATATCCTGTGGATATATTGGATATCCACAAAATATATTCTGTGGATATCTCTGGGATTTGGTGTGTTGTCTGGGTGGTATTTTGAAAGATACTATTTTTACATAGAATTAGTACAAAAATATTTAGAAGGCATAACACACATTCTCATCTTAATAAGTCCATAAAAACAGAAAAATCATCAAGAATCTCTCGACTGCCTAATGATCTATATTTATACAAGAATAGCGAACGTCTATTCTGTTAATTCAAACAGTAGAGAAAGTTACATGAGTATTTCGTCTTATAAGATAATTTAGCGGTGCAGCAATATCTGCGAATTTTTTTCCATATTTCCTATAATAACTAGCGAAAGCGACAAATCTTTTGACTTCCTGAGAATCTTTTGGAACTGGAAAATTTTGAATAGTTTTTACTTTAGAAGGATTAGAAACACCATCAGCAGAAATTATATGACCTACATATAACAATAATTTGTTATTCCGAGTAACCTTGCTACTCCGGTGTAACATGGGCTACAGTAAACGTAACACGCATGTTGCTTTGGCCACTCAGATAAATACTCAGGTATTGTAAACGCCAGATCTGAAGAACCAGCGCAAATGCTCCAAGTTCGTTTACTTAAAAATCGCCACGCCCATTCGCAATTTGAAGGCGTGTTCGTAGCATTATAAATGCGCATCCTTGGTTCTTTAGATCTGGCGCTTACTGTATTTTATATTGTCTTTACAAACAATTGTGATGAAAAGGCCTATTCATTCGTTTCAAAAAAAAATACATTGTTTTCATACTTTTTCGTTACCCTGTATGTATAAATAATTTTGGTTGAAATAAATCAGATGCGGATTTATATAAATTTGTATATATTGGATAACATCATCATTTGGACAACTTATTAGTTTTATTATATTAATTTAAAAAATACTATTAATATTACTAATAATATTAATATTTTAATTTTCAGGAAGCAAGACCAATATTATAATATGTCGTACCTGGTTGAACAATTTGGACAACTAGATTCTGAAGCTGATAGTTATTGCATTGACGAAAATTTATTTATGTACCTTTTGCAAGATAATGCTGACAACAAAACCAACGAGGCATTAAATGAAATTCTAAACGATCTAAGTTCGCAAGGAAAGAAGTTTTTGCTGTCCGTACCTCCTCAGGTGATAAATTAAAATATACCAGGTGAACCAAGTAAAGTTTTGTACGTACAAAAAGAAATAACCTTTATTTTAATAAACGAATATAATTTGGACTGGCGCTATATAGGTATTAGGCAGACGGTGAGTCGCCGATCTTCAACAACAGAACGTCTGCTGTTATAAATATAATTTCTTATTAGCAATTTTTAACTCGCTACTAGTACATTGAGCAGAAGATCTACTGAAACGCCCAGCATTTGAATTTACTACGCAAAAATCTTCATTTCATTTTCGGCGGCAGATCTTTTTCCTAATGTAGCACTAGCCTAGCTCAATAATCCTACAAAAGCTAACCACTTTTTTTAGCCGTGCTATTAGCAAGCGTCACCGATTCTTAACAAAATAATATTAGTTACAGGATTGCTGTCGCATACAATTTACAGTTTTTGCTTCGGTAGATATAAGTACTTGAAAAAATATGATTAATCGTTGTTTGGAAAAAGTGATATACATTTTTATATGATTCACAATTAAATATTAAAATTAATATCTTATCTGCATCCGCTTATCCTAGAAATCAGAGCGAATCTAATACGATATTTAAGGATAAGTATGTACAACACTTGTGTATGTCAAATTTGATTTAAATTCATTTTGTTTTTACAAGAAGCACTACTAAATATCGAGGAGAATGAAAAACAAAACATATACGAGTAAATTACGTTATGTAGATTTATTTATTCCCAAAATATTCCCTTTTAAAAACACTACTTATAACATATAGTACTTAAAATTAGGTCTACCCGACATAATGCCTACCACGATATTCTTTGCGGCCAAAAAAATAAAGAAAATATGCTTTAATATACGAAAATATACACAAGCGAGTCATTGCTGCACCAACGATGAAACAAAATAATAAATACATAGGATATGTGACGCCACTGGCGATAGATAGAAAGCTGCAACGAAGTTCTCGAACATTTAATAACTCAATTCTTGCTGGACCGCATTCGAACAATTCGCAAGCAAGCAAGGTTGACTCAAGTGTAAGGGACAAGATTATAGTCCAGGGAAGTTAGAAAAAATAGCGGAAATTTTTAGGGACAGCAGATATCGAGATGCGGTATTCTGCATTGTGTTCCCAGGAAAAAAGTCTATATCGTTTGGTTTAGCCATTTTTTGAAAAATGCCTTCTGGGCCGGAAAATGCATTTTCCAATTGCATCATTACTTGCATTATTATAGGAACGACTGGAAACTCGGAAAAATCGCTCGGAAATCGTTACATGGGGGTTGTAACATACGGTAACCGATAGATCACGATGTTTTATTTTTATTTTTATTCTGAACTTTCTGTTTAAAAATGAAACGACTTATGTTTTCGAATCAAAATATAACTTAATAAAACACCTATACGATGGTATTCACGAACATTTTCCAAATTATACAGTAGACGAGGCGGCATAATTTTGAGGAAAATTAATAAAAATTACAGATGGAACACTTTATCGAGTATTAAAAAAATGATATTGTATCGATAATTAAAAAAAAAACTGGAACATAAATATACAATTTTAATTAATCTATAATTTCAGATTTTAGAAAACACTACCTTGTATGACTCAGCAAAACAACTCGGGCTACTATATCGATTCAACGATACTATATACAGAGGGAAATATTTGAAGAAAGATGTTGTTTATCCAGATTACAGTCACCCGGACAACAACCAGAAATATCTTGAAGAAATCGACACCTTCCTTCAAAAATACATAAACATCAGCATTGATGGATTTATATTAAAAGACAATTGGCCAGTGAATGAAGATTTCAAAATGGATAATTCCAGTTTTCCTTATTTTAATAAGGTAAATTTTATACAATCTTAGTAGTACCTATACAGTGTGTCCGAAAATGTCAGAGATGGAAAAACAGTTAAATGGGGAAAATTTTAGACAATTCTGTTTATAATTCAATGCCGTTCAGTTTGAGATTTTTTCTCTTTTGGTTTTTGAGATATTTTGAAAAAACTAAAATGACGCATTTCCGAAAATATGATGTATTTTCCTTATTTATAAAAATTTCTAAAAACTTTCTTTGAGCAACTTTTTACGTAAAAAATACCTGTGTCATCAGATTTAATTTGCAACGTTTCGGTTTCTTGGAACCATCATCAACTTTGTTTTTCATATGGGCGCCATATTGGCTTTTTATCTCAAACTAAACGGCATTGAATTATAAACAGAATTGTCTAAAACTTTCCCCATTTAACTGTTTTTCTATCTTTAACAGCCTATCGGACACACTGTATATAAATTTTAATTTCTTTTCCTAGAAACTCCAAGAAGCAATGTCTTACACGATTCAATGGAACGCGACATTTAACAACATATCGCACATCTCAAAACACAATTTATACGGACCTGCACAATACGATGCATTCAAGAAGTACTACCAAACAATCGACCCATCCAAAGTAATTATATCTGCTACAAAATCACTAACCCAAATAGAACCAACGATTGTCCAAAATGTCGACGTCTCTTGGAAAAATTTAAGAAGCTACATGGTCAATATTTTATTTAACAGCATAGCTGGTAATCATTTGGTGAGTTTACCAATTTGTGGAGACACTTCTCAGTACAACGATGATCTACAAGAGTTGCTTTGTCTGCGTTGGTACATCATCTCGGCTACAATGCCGTTTTTCAGAGTATCATCACCGCAACCTTGGAGAAATCCCGATGGGTTGAAAACCAAATACGCTCAAAAAATAGCTAAAGGTGTAGTTGATAAAAGAAAATCTCTTATTCCTTATTATTACTCGATTCTAACTCAAAATCAACCTGTAATAAGACCTATGTTCTATGATTATTACGAGAATACCATAACTTTTTCAATGGACCAACAGTATATGATCGGAGATAAGATGTTGGTGGCGCATCCTTTGACTTCTGATAGAACCAAACTATCTATTTATCTACCGCCTAGGATTGAAGTGTGGTATGAATTTTGGGGAGGAGAAGTATTTAGAACGAACAAGACCAATCCTTACATTAACATCGATATCAGACCTACAGACTTTTTGGTTTTTGTTGCGCAAGGAAGCATCGTGCCTTTAGTGGTAAGTATATTGCGATTATATGTAATCCAATTTTTTTACCCCATAAAACTTTGCTTCAACCCCTCCAGATTGCAGTTAGTTTTTTTTTACTTATTACCATTTCCAGTTAACAATTTTTTCCCCTCTAAATGAGTTAATTCGATTGGTCCAAATAACGTTCTTTTTTACAGAAAGACGCGGGTATCCAACTGATAGTAGCGTTGAACAGCACAGAAAACAAAGCCGAAGGTTCTATTCAAATCGATGATATCACCATTACTTTCAAAGCAACGGATCAGAATGTCACAGTCGAATCAAGCAATGTGATTGATTATCCATTAGTTTATATAAAACTTTACTATTACGATAATTCTACAAGCTACGTAAGCAATTATCCGATAAATAATGTAAACTTGAATGAAACTACATTTATTTACTACGTGGAACCTACAACTACAGAAGCATCAACAACTACAGTGTCTTCAACAACTTCAACGACTACAGAAACATCATCAACTACAAAAGCATCATCAACTACAGTGTCTTCAACAACTTCTACGACTACAGAAACATCATCAACTACAGAAGCATCATCAACTACTGAAGCATTATCAACTACAGAAGAATCTTCAACTACAGAAGAATCTTCAACTACAGAAGGATCTTCAACTACAGAAGGATCTTCAACTATAGAAACATCATCAAGTACTAAAACATAACTACTGAAGCATCATCAGCAACTACAGAAGGATCATTAACTGGTAAAATATCATCAAGTACACAATTATCATCAACTACAGAATCATCATCAGCAACTAAGGAAGGAATATTAACTACAAAAGCATCATCAAGTAGGCAACAATCATCAACTACAGAAGCATCATTAGCTACTACAAAAGACGTATCAACTACAAAAGCACCATCAAGTAGGCGACCATCATCAACTTCAGAAGCATCATTAGCTACTACAGAAGGATCATCAACTACAAAAGCATCATAAACTAAACTACAGAATTATAATCAACTACAAAAGCTTTATTAACTACAGAAGCCACTTCGGAAGATATAGCTTCAACTACCTACTACAGAATTAACAAGTCCTTATGATATTATACTTTCTCAACAATAAACTCCAGAAGAAACACCTTCAACCAGAGCAGATGTATTTGGTCAATAAGCAAAGAATCTTCAACGAAAACTGAAAAACTCCATTTCAGAGGAAATAACACCACCTATTTATCACAGGATTACCAACAAGTCATCCTGATAGTACAGCACCAAAGCAATAGTGTAGAAACTTTTATAGCAACAAGTTATTCTGGTAGTTCGTCAGCTCTAATACTCTAACAGTTCAATATATTTAATAATATAATCCGCTATACATTTATAATTATAATTAAATAATGTTAAAAAAATATAATATGTATGTGTGTCTTTTAGGAGATAAATGAATTAAATATAAGTATATATAGTTATTTTTATGTATTAAAAGTTTGTTGATATTAAATTTAAATTGAGTTATAAATAAAATTTATAGAGACACACAGTTCCTTATTCCTCATGCTTTTTAACTAAAATAATGTGGCACTCATGGAGATAATATAGGGAAGGAAACGGAGTCACGTGGTCAAAACTATCACCACGTCGGCCATATTGATACTAGACCTCCTTCACTTATCAGTTTCTATTTTAATGTATTGTTTAATCTCATTATAATACGTTTATATAAACTGTTCGTCTCAGAAACATTAAAAGAACAATGGTGTCGTGTGCCAAGCGTAATTGCACAAGTAACAAAGAAAATTTCAAAAATAACATTTCTGTAAAAGGTCTTTACAAAAACATACCACATATTCATTAGACTAAAATAAGTCGATTTAAGTAAAATTACCTTAGTACAAAGTTGCTTCGTTTGGGCTCCAGAGGGCCTTGGAGTTACAATTTTTAAATCGTTTTTCCCATATAAATTTGAAACGGCATATGCGATTTTGCTGAAATTTGGTATATTGATAGAGTTTTATGTGGCAAAAAAATGGTATTAAAATGTTGACCGATAATACTACATAGGCGTAGAACTTGATTTTTTAAATAATTGCACCTTTAAAAATTCTACGCCAATGGAAGAAAAAGTTTGAGTATGAAATTTAGATTGCGCAACTCATTTACTTTAAAAAAGGTACTCTTGATAAGACTCGATTACTCTCATGGTTTTGACGAAATTTGCATTTTAGTAATTTTAGAACATAAACAATAATTATTAAAATACAAACTTTGTCAAAACCATGAGAGTAAATCGAGTGTTATCAAGGGTACTTTTTTGTAGTAAATGAGTACCTAATCCAAATTTCATACTCAACAATCAAGTTCTACGCCTATGTATTATTATCGGACAAAATTTTATACGATGAAAAATATAAAAATGAACTTTTTTCATATCTTCTTCAACACCTCTAATCGGGACTTTTAACAAAAATACTCGATTCTTGCCATGTACGATTTTTTGAGGAATATTAATTATTTGCCTGCCATACGTTTACAAAAACATTTATTGTTGGTTTCCATAGTTTCATCTAAATAACAATATTGTCAAGTTTTAACACCTAATCTCTTGTTAACGATTGAAAGTGTTCTATCTGACTCAATAATTAAAAAAACAAATGCGTTGATTATTAATATGGCTGTACAATATTCCAATGCAGAATATACCGATATGTTACTGACATTAGGATTTTGTGAAGGAAATACTCGAGAGAGTGTCAGGGTGTACTCTGAAAGGTTTCCAAAGGTGAGTTCGGGATACGCACTCTTTTCACTATATTCACTCCTAAAGTACCTAACGCGTTCGGAAATGGAAGGAGTTATAATAAAAGTTCCTTTTTGACCGTTCGGAGATCGTGGAGTGGAGTGTGGATCGGGCATAAGGTGATTTAAATCGATAATAAGATAATTGTGACTAATTCTTAAGTGAAAATGCTTTTTATTTGATTCCCATGTATACCATTAATATGGAAGAAACTTATACGGTTGTAACTGATAAGTACGATTAGGATTTAGGTATTAGTATGTCACATTGACAACTGACATTGAACTCTGAGAGTAAAAGGAGTAAAACCATATGCGCACTCCGTCTACGCCTATTTACTTCACTCCACTCTGGAGTGCGCAGCCCGAACTCACCTCAAATCGTCGTGTACCTAGCCACCCAACTTCTGCTGCTGTTGAGAGACGTCTTCGGGAGACCGGTTCCTTTGCTCCCAACACTGTTGACAATGGAAGAGAACGTTTTGTAAGGATTCCTGAAGTTGAAGAAGATATTTTAGAATGTGTTGAAGAAGATCCAGAATTAAGCACCAGAAGAATTGGAAGGGAACTAGGAGTAAGTAAAGATGTCGTTCATAAAGTGCTTGGAGAACAATTGCTATATCCATACCATAAGAAGCCAGTACAAGAATTATTAGTCCATGATCCTCAAATTCGTTTGGGTTTTTGTCGATTTGTTAATATGCAAAGAGAAAGAGATCCAAACTTTGTCAAGAAGGTTCTCTTTACCGATGAAGCGGGTTTTACAAGAAGAGGTATAACTAATACCCATAATGAACATGTTTATGCCGTTGAAAATCCGCATGCAATAAAAGTAAACCATTTTCAGCACGAATTCAAAATTAATGTGTGGGCTGGAATAATTGGTAATTTCATTGTTGGTCCTGTCATACTTCCACGAAGATTAACTGGAGAAAATTATTTGGATTTTCTACTAAATACGTTGCCAGAATTGTTAGAAGATTTACCTCTCCAACTTCGGAGAGATATGTGGTTTATGCAAGATGGAGCTCCACCACATTTTTCTTTAAACGTTAGAAACCCTTTGAATGAACAATATCCACACAAATGGATAGATAGAGGTTATGACGCACCTGTAAACTGGCCACCACGTTCCCTAGACCTAACACCGATGGATTACTTTTTATGGGGACATCTGAAATCCACAGTTTACAGGGAACCTGTAGAAAATGAGGAACAACTCTGGCAACGTATTCAAGATGCAATAAACAATCTTAGAGGTGATGAAGAAGTTATGGAAATGATACACTTTAATTTTCTTCGACGTATAAATCTTTGTATGCGTGAAAATGGTGAACATTTTGAACAATTTTTGTAAAATCTCTATTTTGATTATGTTGTAAATAAATATTTTTGTGAAACCTATACACTTTAAATTATTAAAACAGAAATTTGCGCAATCTAAATTTCATATTCAAACTCCTTTTCTTCCATTGGCGTAGAATTTTTAAAGGTGCAATTATTTAAATAATCAAGTTCTACGCCTATGTATTATTATCGGACAAAATTTTAATACCATTTTTTTTGCCACATAAAACTCTACCAATATACCAAATTTCAGCAAAATCACATATGCCGTTTTAAATTTATATGGGAAAAACGATTTAAAAATTGTAACTTCAAGGCCCTCTGGAGCCCAAACGAAGCAACTTTGTACTAAGGTAATTTTACTTAAATCGACTTATTTTGGTCTAAGGAATATGTGGTATGTTTTTGTAAAGACCTTTTACAGACACCCTGTATAAGTATAAACACAGTGCAGAGTAGTATTAAAATAAAATATTGATTTAGTTTTCAGAATAATTAATTTAAATAGTTTCTTATTAAATACAGTAATAAGGTAATAAGTACATTCTAAATTATCTACATTTATATATCTATAAAATAAACACAATTTTATTCATTTATTGCAATTTTCCACGGGATCCAGAAAAACGTAAGAAATGAATATATTTTGTGAATAGAAGTTCTTGAGTATCTACGAAATATAGTGTATTCTCTTCCAAGCACTTTCTTAAATAACACTTTGGTTTAAGTTCTAAATGTTATATTCGTCTAAAAGACTTATTATAGTCGTATTATAGCAATTTAAATATCTAACTAATCGTCTAAAAAACTACTGAAAATACATTGAATCGAAGAAAAACCTTGCAGATTAACTTACGAAGGCAGTATCACCAAAGATTTTAAAAGAGTACCTGCTGCATATTGGAATCATACATTCAGGAAGGACATCAAGCCGTAGTGAATCAGATTCAGGGGGAGTGTTAGATATATTTATTTATTGTTGTATTATGTTGTTAGCGTTACTAGTTTTAAAGTACTCGGAATATTAAAAAAGATGTAGATGTCACAGTGACTAATGAGTTTGGTAATATTTTGAATAAAAAGTCATTCTATCAGAAACAACATTTTTATTTAAAATAATCTGCTAAATCAACGCTTATGAAGAATCCTTCCGGACACACCTGGACGTAGAAAAAACCTCTACATTTCCGGGCAAATCCGGACGTCTGATAACCCTACCTGGAAGTAGTTGTTTGTATTATAAGACGGTCGGATAGTTTCCGACTAAAAATCGAGACTTGATGTTTGGTGTCAATTACTCCGAATTTTTGGAAAAAGAGCATTATAAAAGTATTCAACAACCTACATTTCAGAAAAATTAATTTTCAATTCAATCGTCAACATCATTTTTTTTATTACAAATATTTGTACTTCTAAACATACTGCAATTATAATAATTTTTCTAATCAATTGACAAATTTGATTGACGATCATTATTGTTTCAACAAACAACAAAATATACGAGTACTGTTCCAACTGACCTCCGATGTCTTTTTGGACAGTTTAATAATCACAATTTCAAACTAGATAATAAAAGCCGAATATCTCTAATTATTTCATTTATTTCAAATATGCATTTCAATATAATCATTTCGATTTTTTTATTTTCATTTTTTGAAAACTCTTATGCCGATAATAATACTAAATTAAAAGATGTTCTAAGAAATAATTCCTATAGATCCAATAATAATCGGACGAATAATAATAACAACAACAACAACAACAACTCCAATAATGATGACGATGATGTTTTTAAATCGGAAGCAATGAATGTGTTGGATAACTGTTCTTCCAATGGACGTAAAAATCAAGAAAACAAAAACGATAACAATAATAACAGGTGAATAGAAAATACTTTACTTCTATTTTTATTCTCACGAAAAATTTTTGATAATGGAGATACATATTTTCGAAATCTTCACTGTAAACAAAGTTTTAATATATTTTGCCCAACTACAATGACTGCATTCCTTCTTAACGTATTTCAGTCAGGACTACCCTTCTTAAATATAACATTTTGTGCTGCTCTGATCTCCAAAATGTTTCAACCATTTCACTATTGTTTCTATGCTTGTGTTTTCTAATATTCATAATTCTTTAATATCGTTCATTTATAAATGTCACTGGATAGCGTAACAAATGGCGCCCAACGTGTGTCCATTTTATTTTTTCATCATTAATCATTAATTCTGTTGCGCATTTCAAAATTGGTCTATGATGGTTATAACTGTCTTTATATTTAATATAGATATGGTAGTAATAGTCAATCGACAGATACTTACAGAAGGATAAAGCAAAATGGAGACTATTACAAGAATTTCGGGTATGACAACAACGATAGCCAACAATATGATAGAAACTACAATTATAATTCGAGAAATAATCGACAAAACTCGAATAATAACGATTACAATAGTGGAAGCAACAGTGATGAGTATAATAATCCATCATCCAGCTCTAATGGGAATAGAAATAGTAATTCTAATAACGGATACGTGAGTATTCATCCTAGAGAGTTGAAGTGATGCTATGAACCTAAATGTATACGTGAAAATTGACATCTACGCATGCGCATTCAAATATCCTTCACGTTCACCTCTTCGTACATACGTAAGCTTACGGGCTCTGGCGTATGTACGTAACGCAAATAAAATAACCTCTTTTTAATTGGGAAAGAAGAAATCCTAATAATAATTGTCATTATCTGTCATGACACGTAAATGTCACGATACATGTGTCTTTTTATCCAACTGTTGCAACAACGTTGGCACCGGTGCGGTATCTACCTGTCTTTTATTTCATCAATTTATCATTGATGAACTAACAGCGCTGTCTTTTTATCCAACGTTGATGCAATCGATGCAACACCATTCCATCATTTCAACGAATGGTTTTTCCGATTAGATGTGACAACTGACAGCTATGGATTGCGGGAATTAATCAGAGGAGTTAATTATTTAATTGTTTTTTGTGAGAAAACCGAAAAAATTAGATTTTTAAAATTATAAACACTAATTTTAATCCAAAATGTCACTGCTTTTTATTTCAACGGTCAACCATAAATAAATCGAATCCAACAGAAGGCGTTCAAGGCCGCATCGGCGAAAAAACGATTCCAACAAACCGGTGGAAAAAAAGACGCATGTGATGCGTTTAACAACTTCAACTCTTATTTTGGACTATACTGTAACCATTATTTTTGTGTGTTGACGTTTACGTTAACGTACTGGAAACACTTCAACTCTCTATTAGGTCTTTTCCTTTGCATCGAAAGTGTAGCACTGGGCTACACCAATTCTGAAAATATCGTTCCATATATACAAATTGTATGGATGGAACGATATTTTCAGAAGTGACGTAGCTCATTGCTACACTTTTGATGCAAAGGAAAAGATCTATTATCTATTAGGTAAACTCATTCCATGATAAATAGCATTTTATTTATATCATTGATAAACCCAGTTAGCCTTGGCCTCTAGTGGAACAATTTCAAAGCTTCAGAAGTAAATAGCAATGATCTGAAGTGTGACAGAATGCCAAAAGGCATGTTGTGCCAATAAGACTAGGTACGACTCTATGGGCGCAGCCATTTTTATTATCCATCTCGCTCGGGAGTATTTATAATAACCATTTTCTGTTTCATATTGTTATTGTCTTGTCCACAATCTCGTGCATCAGGATTGTTTAGAGTAAAATAGCTATTACAATTACTACCGAGTGAGATGAAAATTAAAATGTCTGCGCCCATAAAGTCGCATCTCAATCCTATTGATAGGCATTCTATCCCACTCCAATTCATTGGTAAATAGTCGACAGCATATGGTCCTGAATTAGGGCTAGGCTACTTTTATTTCAATTTAATTTTACACATTTTCCAATTATTGTAATGATTATTTTGATGGTACATATTTATTAATTTATCGATTTTAGAACGACGGTGATTCCCCTTACAATTCTTATGGGAGTAATGGAAATAACGGCAACAGTGGAAGCAATTATGATCGATCAAACGGGTAAGTAGGTTCTATTTGTAAGTTATTTATACGTGGTATCCAAAATTCGACAACTGGCGGTTGAATTACGGGACTACCAATATAATTGACACCACTGATTATTATTTTATAAAGTTTTTACTGACCAAAAAGCAGTGTGTATATTATAGCATGGTTATGATTACGTACAAACATCCGCTATGCCCTCATTACCAATCACAATCACGTTTTAACAGTTACAGTAACAATAATAATAATGATGATGACGATAGAAACAGAAACGGTAATTATGGAAGTAGCAGTAACGGTTATGGAAGCAGCAGAAACGGTTACGGATCAAACACTAGGTTAAATAACATGAATAACGGGGATAGCTCCAGTGGTTATGGTTCAAATGGTTATAATAACTATGGTTATGGTAATAATGAGCGTCAAAATATGGGAAATACTCGTTCAGACCAATCGGAAAGTAATTATGGATATAATAGAGAATATATGCGGCAAAATAATCGAGGACATAGCGGTAAGTGCTGTCATTTAGATCTTTCGACAGAATATATACAACCAACATTGCATGTAGCTGTCAAAATCACAGACCCACATATGCAATCAACATTGTACGTTACTGTTAAACAAGTTGCATACATCAATGCTTTTTAATATTATTTATTTATAAATGGCACTAGATAGCGTAACAAATGGCGCCCAACGTGCGTCTATTTCATTTTTTTTTGGAAAAACTGAAAATTATATTAAAAAATAACTAATTATATATATACTATATATAAATTTATATTTTAGAAGGTTATAATGATGGTTATTACAATGTTGGCATACCAAGTTACGGAAGACGAATGAAAAGAGACAACAAAGATAATAATAAAAACAGCAGAGACAGAGATGATAATCAAGTAAGTATATAATTTTTATAGTATTAGATTAGGTATTCCAAACAAAATGGCTGCCCGTGAGTAATTACAGGTTATGATATGGCGCCACTGCAAGCCTGATGATTTGACAGGGTCAATGATATAACTAGTTATATAGATTAATCATTCATGAATTACGTCAACTTTCCTTATGTGAATTGAAGAGGCAACGACTATTTTTCTTAGAAACTGTTATCGCGTATCTTATTTCATTATTCTGGTTTACAACATTTTTATGTGAATTATTTACTTGTTAATTAGATCTCTTGGTAGTTAGATGTATTATATTAGATGAAATAAAACTTGTAAAATTTTAAAATACTTTTTTAAAGATCGAATTTTGTCATAGATTTTCAAAATAAACATAAACTGGTGCCTTGAAGTGAAAATAATGTAGGTAATTATTTTGTTACTATATTCTAACCCTGAAAATTGGTTTTAAAAGGCAATATGGCCGCTCGCAAAACAACCCACTTGAGCAATCTATATAACTATATATGTATGATTAGTCCTGTCAAAGGCAACCGGCACACGGTTGCCATATCATAACCTGTTATTACCCACGGGCAGCATTTTGACAGATCGTTAGAAACAATAATAGTGAGTTCCGAAATTTTTATTCTGTACGTCATCATTGACAGATATCCTTTAAAAATACCAGTGGCGTAGCTAGATATGTGGCAATAGCTATATTTTTAATATTCAAAACTAGGAAACCGAACCGTTATTAACTTGACTTTCCAACTAATAGAGATAAGATTTATGTAATTATTCTTACAGTGTCAAAAAGACATTAAATAGACTCTATATCTGAACCTTAGAGCCAAACAGTATTAAGTCCACCTTTTTTCATTTTCAAGTTTTTGGTTACTCCTACATAATTTTTCCTGCTCCTATTATTTTTAGTTTACCAGATATATTTTTAAAACCAATATTAAGTCCAATTAAAAATACAGGCAGTCAAAAGTTTCAACAAGCTCTCCTGTAAACTTTTGTAAAATTGACTTAATACTCTCAGGTTCTAAGGTCCAGATATCCTTTTCTGTGATATCTATTTAAATTACGTTTTTTTCTATTTTCAGTGCACAAGTCAATGCGTTTTCGGTCACATGGAGTTGGTAAGTTAACAAAATTAAAAGAAAAACAATAAAATGGAAGTCAATTTCAAATTTGATAGCTATTGAAATTGTTGTTGATATCGTAATCTTTTTTTAGTTGGACGATGATCAAATGCCTTCAGAAACGTTAATTATCAAATGGATTCAAGATCATATTGCAAACGATGATATGAAGAGGATTAAAACGCTAAGGGAAGTACGGAAATGTTTTACTAGGATGTCAACAACAGGTAGATATATTTTTTCATCCTTCTTTTGATAAGAACGGTTTAATAAAATTGTTATTTGTATATGTGTATGTTAGATTCAGTACTAGAAATCGAGTAATGGCCGAAAAAAAGTACAAAACGTAATGTAACCTGACACGGACGTAGAAAAGAGTAATACTATCTTTTATCTCCCTATTAACACAATGTATCTCACTCACGCAGTGAAACTAAAGTAATTCGGATGGTTACAAAATGTAGCCAATAAGTTTTTTTTTGTGTCATCGGCATCAACTGCTAAGGTTATTAGCCTCGTGTTCTGTGTAGGCTTTGTTACTGTTTCCCAGCGCCACTTAAGAACAGCACTGTTAATTAGAACCCAACAGTGAATGGTCGAGTGGGGAATCCTACCCTACCAAGGCACAATAAGATTTGAAATTCAAGCGAGTCTATAACCAGAGTATTTCAATTTTCATTGATTTTTTTTATAGGAAAAAGAAAAACATTTATAATTAGCCAACACCGCAGAATTATGATTCATTCTTTAGATCTGCTTCAACAACGACCAGAGGCCAATCACTGACAGCAGGATTATGCGCAGATTGGGATCGCCAAATTATATGTGCAGTGATTTGTTTTTGGGGACCTATTTTCAAAGTATGTGAGCACTCGTTTCTCTCAAGAGTTTCATCAGAAATGTCATACGTCAATGTGAAAACGCTGTTTTTAAAGGCCTTGAGGATTAAAATTATTAGGAGAATTTTAATTATCTCTAAATAAAGCGAGAGAAACAGTGAGTTCACACTGGTCCTAAGAGCCCTAAAAATACTGTTTTACGTTGACGTATGACATTTCTCTTGAGAGAAATGAATTCTCTTAAGTTTGAAAATAGACCTTTAATTTTTTTCTAATATTACTCGAACGTAACATATGTATATATTTTTTAGCAATTGATGATGGCTGTGACTACTCGAATGAATTGGCTAAATGTTTGAATTTGGATTTTGATTAATTTGGTTAAAGAAGCAGTCTTGGAAGAAAATGTCTTTCTTAATATTTTAAAACTAATCTGAATGTACATTGTATTTTTAAATAATAATATTATGAAACATATTTTTTTTATTTCTACCTAATCTATATAGTTTATAAGATTTAATTTATTTTAGATTATGAAGTTTTATACATTTTAAGACATCATAGATAGTGCGATTGATGCCATTTTGAGGATTCTGGAGTAATTTCTAATGTAAATCTATTAACTTCTGTTGAAACGAACCTGAACGATGTAAGATCGAATTGTCATCTGAATTGTAGGTTAAAAACAACAAACTACAATAATAATAATAATAATACTCTCCCTAATTCACCTCATTACGAGTAAATTTTAATCCCAAAAGCTGAGATTGTGCAGGGAGAGGGACGGCTATTATTATTATTTGCCGTGGTGCTCCGGGGCGACTTAAAGATGATTGATGGTGCCATTTGACTTACAAGAGATGAAAACCCGGAAAACCTCACCCACCGTCAAGAATTACTAGATTCGGAATGCTCCGGGTAAAATTCATTTCTACATTCGCCTAAAGTTAGGCAAAAGCGCCCAAAACAAGTGTCCATAATGAAATTTTAGACATCTGTTGCCGTGTTTTTGGTTTTATGGCTACAAAAAACTGCATGACCGAGGTCTCATTCGATTCGGAATAGCGTGTAGATGATTTTTGAAAAAATTCAAGAGTCGCTTGCAATTAACTAAAAAAAAATAGGGTTTGGTTTTTTTTGCAAATACCTCAAATAGTTTAGTAACTGAAAGGACCAACCGGTCATTAAGTCGGTCCAGATTTCCGTTGTGGCTCAATTCTTAGGTCTCGGCGGTCGCTTGCAAGGTCGAAAACTTTTACCAACTCTGCTGCGTCGGAAAGGGCTCAAAATGGACCCTAAAACTGGTTTCCCGCCAATATCTTCCACAATATGCAAATTAGAGAATTTTTGTTTAGATAAAAAAGAAAGATCTTATTATTATCTACAAAAATGGTCCCTATCACTTTTGTCGGGAATTCGACAGGTTTCGAGATAACCGCAATTAAAAGTCCCCTCGTTCAGCCCCTGCTTTATCTCTATAGCAATGCTGATTAGCTTGTAAACGGGTGGACAAATTGTTTCAGAACTCGGTCAAAAATTGATATTTTTCGATGATTCAAAGTTCATTACAATGGGAAAACCCATAGGTAACGATCCATGTGCATTGAAGCCCGTTATTTCCTGTCAAGAACATTGAAAAAGGGGTCAAAGTTGCGTTTTCCTACTATTTTGGACCACTTTATAGTAATTCATTCATATTTATTTTCTTTTAATAGTTTTTTTATCCCATTTTTGTTTTAAATGGGATCTTGAGATGTCTCGAATGATCTCAGAAATTTTTTTCCAATATCTTCCTGGCGTTTTAAAACAAAATTGTTCATTTGCATTTTTCATACGTTTTCGGAGTTCTAGAAATCTTTGAAACAAGCAGTAATTAAAAACTCATATTTCATTATATTGTTATTCAATGCACACCATTTTAAAGCTTAGAGTGTCTACTTTTCGAATGTATTTTTTTAAAATGGTGTGCATTGAATAACAATATAATGAAATATGAGTTTTTAATTACTGCTTGTTTCAGAGATTTCTAGAATGCAAATGCAAATAAACAAATCAATTTTGTTTTAAAACACCAGGAAGATACTGGAAAAAAATTTTTGAGATCATTCGAGACATCTCAAGATCCCGTTTATAACAAAAATGGGATAAAAAAACTATTAAAAGAAAAAAAATGAATGAATTACTATAAAGTGGTCCAAAATAGTGGGAAAACGCAACTTTGACCCCTTTTTCAATGTTCTTGGCAGGAAATAACGGGCTTCGATGCACATGGATCGATACCTATGGGTTTTCCCATTGTAATGAACTTTGAATCATCGAAAAATATCAATTTTTGACCGAGTTCTGAAACAATTTGTCCATCCGTTTACAAGCTAATCAGCAATGCTATAGATAAAGCAGGGGCTGAACGAGGGGACTTTTAATTGCGGTTATCTCGAAACCTGTCGAATTCCCGACAAAAGTGATAGGGACCATTTTTGTAGATAATGATAAGATCTTTCTTTTTTATCTAAACAAAAATTCTCTAATTTGCATATTGTGGAAGATAGTGGCGGGAAACCAGTTTTAGGGTCCATTTTGGGCTCTTTCCGACGCAGCAGAGTTGGTAAAAGTTTTCGCCCTTGAAAGCAACCGTCAAGACCTAAGAATTGAGCCACAAAGGAAATCTGGACCCACTTAATGACAGCTTTGCATATTTTCAGGTCTTCAGTTACTGGACTAAAAAACTATTTAACATTTTCCAAATTTGAAAAAAGATTCAAAAAGAGGAGGAAATTTCCCACCAAAAAGTCCTACCTCCCGGAACGTAGGATCAATATTTATAATTTTCCCAGAGGGTTGAAAATACGGTCGAAAACGGAGACTGTCTTGTGTAAGCTCTGCCCACTATGCACCTTTAATATTATTTAAACTAATTAAATATGGAAATTACGAATTGAAAAAAATTATTATGAATAATATGAATAATTTTTTTCCTTTTTTGGAGCAATTTTTTAACGGTCTCAGAAAAGATTCCCGTTGGAAAAATTATTAAATTGTTTTTCACTTTGTTATTAACAATTTACTTGGGTTAAAAATTAAAAAGCTTGATTAATCATTTACTATTGTTTAAAAAATTGTTATAAACAAATCGTGGGCTTACTGCAAAAAGTGACCAAGTCAAATTTTATGTGATTTGACTTAATATAATCAGATTTACCAAAAAAAAAAATTACCAAGTTATATTTATACTGCCTGAAAGTACTAAATAAATTAAATCACGTAAAATGACGTGTTCACTTTTTGCAGTAAGCCTACGAAATGCGTTGTTTATAAGATTTAAGATAACATTTTTTTTGGAAACATAATCTTTGATGCAAATTATGATTTTTTTAAAAAAATCGTTCTAAATTTTATTTTTACTGCTTAAAAACGGATTTGTTAATAATTAACAATTTTTTATCACTTAATTATTATTAAGGAACCATTTTTTTTTAAATCATAATTTATCTTGCTCTTTGATAACTAAAAATAAAAAAAATAAAAAAAAATAAATTAATAAAAAAATATTTTAATTATCTTATAAAAAACGCATTTGTTTATAACAATTGATACAAAAAACGGAACAATAGTAATATATTTTTTTTTTCAATGATTAATCAAGCTTTTTGGTGGGAAATTTCCTTCTCTTTTTAAATCTTTTTTCAAATTTATAAAATGTAAAATAGTTTTTGAGATCGGATCGGTAGTGTAGCGGTCTAACGCGCTTATATTCATTTATAGACAAGTTTATGAGTCTGAGACTGCTGGGCTTCGAATCCCAGACCAGACCCTGTAGATTTTTAATTAAATTGCATAGTTCGGTATAGGATTTGATGTGTGCCATATTAATAGAAATTTAATTTCTGTTGATATGACATGCAGATTAAAAAATCGCCATGCATTACCGTCTCGATGATGGTGGGTGAGGTTTTCCTCACCTGTAAGTCAAATGGCACTATCAATCATCTTTAAGTCGCCCCGGAGCGCCACGGCAAATAATAATAATAATAGCCGTCCCTTCCCCTACACAAGTCATTCAGTCGACTTCAGGGGTTGAAATTCACTCGTAAGGGGGTGAATTAGGGAGAGTATTATTACTTTCCTATCTGTATACAGATATAAGGAAAGTAGAGGACTCATGATTTTTTTCGACCTCGAGTTTTCGATGGATTTTTAAGTTTCGAGGTCCCCTGAATCTGTTTTGACTATTTTCGCGATGATGTCTGTGTGTGTGTCTGTGTGTCGCATAACTCATGAACCGATACACAGAAAAATACCAAATTTTAAACTTAAGCTTTGTTCCAGCGTCCAATGTGCTGATTAGTTTTTGGGCAGTGTCGGAACATCTGGGGGGGTACTTTATAGGTGGTCATTTTTATAATGTATGGAATATATCTGTTATTTACGTTTGGAGAGGAAAATTCTTCAAATAAAAGTTACTTCTAATATAATTATCTATAATTTTTGTTCTATACAAAATTTTCCTAAAATGGTCCGTATTCAAGAAATTTGACAAAATGTAAAAAAATAATTTTTTATAAAAATTGTTCAAATAAAAGTTGTTTGTAATATAATTCTCTATAATTTTTATTCTATACATAATTTCTCTAAAATGGACCGTATTCGAGATATTTGAGAAAATGTGTAAATTTCGAATTTTGAAGAAAACTCAAAAACGGATAAAGAAAAAAACTTTAAATTTTAAACTTAAGGTTTATTTCGGCCTGCCGTGAAATGATTAGATTTTGGACAAAGTCGGAACATCTGGGGGGTACTTTATGGGAGGCCGTTTTTATATTTTATGGAATATATCTGTTATTTATGTTTGAAGAAGAAAATTGTTCAAATAAAAGTTACTTCTAATATTATTATCTATAATTTTTGTTTTATGTCAAAATTTCCTGAAATGGTCCTTATTCGAGAAATTTGACAAAATGTGCAAAATTCTGATTTTTATGAAAATTGTTGAACTAAAAGTTGTTTGCGATATCGATCTCTATAATTTTTGTTTATACATGATTTTTCTAAAATGGACCGTAATGGAAAAGTGCTAAATTTAAATTTTTCAGTATTTTCGTTTTCAATGAATATCTATTGAAAAATGTTTCGAGGTAGATGTATGTGGACAATGTATATATTTAGTTTATCCTCTAAACATTTATAGAGATGCTGCAATAGGTTGTACAAAATAACCTGAAAAAGCCTGTAATAACTAGATAGGAAAGTCATGTGTTGGACACATCAGATTTTCATTATTATTGTAAAAAATCAAACTCTATTTTTTTTTTTTCAATTAATTGTTTATAACTTTTGCAACTACTTTTATTTTACAATTTTTGTTTAATTAAATGTTATTTAAAATAAATTTTTATAACACAAAATAAATTTTTTTAATAATCAGAAAATGATTTCAAATGATAGACTTAACAAACACTGTAAAATTTTTAATATTTTCAGTTACTTTTTTGGAAAAATGTTTAAGAAAAAAAATGTGTGGAAAATATGTATCCTTAATAATTCATATTCTTAACATTTTTTTGATTAGATAGACCATACTTGATATATTTAAGATAGATATTTATAATATATTTTTGCCTTTCACTTACCTTGGATGTGGTTTTAAAATTATGTCAGTTTGGAAGAGGATTTAGGAAATAAGGAATATTAACAAAAAAAAAAACCGCAAATATCCTTAATCCTTAAAACATTTAATGCAGAAATAATACGAAAAGCTATATATATAAAAACTTCATTTCGAAGTTATTAGATCCTAAGCTACGTTCAGTAATACGGAGTTAACATCGATTAAAACCAATTTAATAAAAATATGTTTACCGAAAAAACAAAAAAGATCTACTTTTTCTACCAACCCGGCGTAGTATTCGCCAATCGTCTGATTCTGCGCGTATTCCTGTCCTGATCTCTGATTTTTTTCTCCATTTCGGCGTCGGTTAAGGTCTCCAAAAACGGCGCCCATTGGTCCGATTCGCTCGGATTCCTGAACGGCACCTAAAATATCATATTCAACCGGTAAAACAACCTACTAACCTCACATAAACAAATGAAATATAGATATGCACCTGTCCGGGTTTATTTCAAGCCAAGATCTACTCTTTCTTCTATTACTTTCTCTCTCTTCTGGTTCCTCGATAATGATTCGTCAATTTTAAACAGCAGAGGCAAATTCAGTGAAAACTGAAGTTGATAAAATTAACGAAAACACAAAAAGTCAATTGATGACATATGAACAAGAGAAAATTTAGAAATATATAACAAAGAAGTTAGAAAAAGCAACAAAAGAAATGAGGTTGATAGAAAACCTCACAGTAATGTAGTAAAGAATAAAACTGAAGAAAAGAAAATTCAAAACAGTAGAGCTGGTGAACAAATCTTGGAGAAACTAACAAACCTGGACGAACGAATTGTCAGATTGGAATATAGTAATAAAGGAACTATCCCCTAAATACTTAATAATGCCAGACAGTCTTAGAATCTTAGAATAGAACGCCAATGGCCTCTTGCAACCCCAACAAGAACTACGGACCATATTAGAAATAGAAAAAATAGATATATGTCTTACTAATGAATCGTTCATCAGAATAAAAGGATATCAGGTATATCACACCACAAATCCAGAAAATGCAGCTAAAGGAGGAAGTGCAGTTATAATAAAGCAAAATATAATGCATCACCAAAAGATGGGATTCAAAACAGCTGCAACCAAGACAAAAAACCGTATGATAAATATAACGGCGTTATACTGTCCACAAAGACATGCAATTATGAAAAACAAATATATTGAATTTCTAAATAGCCAGAGGTATAGATTTATCATTGGAGGAGATTTCAATGCAAAACATATACACTGGGGATCAAGACTAACTACTATTACTACTAAACTAGATTAAATGTGAAGCAATATCAATAGAGAAGCCAACATACTGGTGTCCATCGATCCTAACAAAATTCCAAACCTCATAGACTTCTTTGTAGCAAAAAATATCTCAACAAACTACATGTAAATAGAAGAAGCATGAGACGTGAATTCTAATCATTCTCCCATCCTCCTCACGCTTAGTGATACCATAATAAAAAAAAGGAAGCACACCAAGTTTAGTCAATAAGAAGACTCATTGTAGGAGCTTTCAAATTGAACTAGATAGCAATATTAATCTCTCAGTTCCGCTAAGAACCAACGAACAGCAAACTGCAATGGAATAATACCACGAGAATAACAGTAAGAACAAAGGGAAATAATTATAGGGAACTACTTGCCGAAAAGAGAAAACTAAGACGCAAATGGCAGCAATCTAGAGCACCTGTGGACAAAACTAGGCTGAATAATGCCACACGGAATCTTAAAAGCGAAATTACAAAAATCAAAAATGATTCTATTAGTGTTTACCTCAGCGAGTTGTCAAATGACAGCAACAGAGATTATTCCTTGTGGAAATGTACTAAAATATTAAAGATAATCATCCTGTAGAATCCTCTAATCAGAAACAAGAATGGCAGTTGGGCAAGAGATATAACATCCAAAAATCAAACAGATTCGCAGATCAGAAAATACATTTCAACCAAACGAAGGTGAAGAAATAGCAAGAGAGAATTATGACCAAGAAGAATTAGAAATAAGATTTGCCACAACAAAAGAGGTAGCTAAGGAAAAATAAAGAAAATATAAATCGAAAGAAAGCCCCAGGACTTAATAACAAGAGAAATCCTGAAACAATTGCCTCAGAAAGCCATAATAAAACTGACACAACTGATAAACTGGAGTATGTACCCAGGATTGTGGAAAGTTGCATTGTAGGCCTATCTAAATCATGATAATTTAAGTTGTGGTCTGCATTATTCCCCAATTTCGTAAAAAAATGAATTGCTTGGCAACCCTGTAATATTTTTTTAAAACATTCTAGGGTTGAATACAATATTACCAAACCATTCTAAAACTCAAAAAACAGGGTGTTCTATTTAAAAATATACATTTTTATTTGCCAAGCAAAAACGCAACACCCTGTAAGTCCAAAAATATTTTTAAAATGTGTATTTTTTAAATAGTTATAACTTTTGTTTTAAACTTGTTTACAGGTCTATAACACAAATTGAAATATTGAATAATTACACACTAGTGGGATACCCTGTATACAGTGTCACATATAAAGTATTTTTTTTTAAATTCTGTAAATGAATTTTGACTTTGTCATTTTTTGTTGTGTTTTAAAAATTGACTTTGCCATTTTGTGTTGTTTCAAAAATGATAACAATGACATGCAAATGATGGTCAATCACGTCATATTTTGTAAACGTGAAAAATTATATTTTCTTTTCCAAAAAATACAAAAAATTGCATTTTTTTCAAAATGTCGAGAAATGCCTGAAGAAAACTTTGCTTATTTTTCAATTGTTTACCCATATTACCAACTTTTTTTTTTTTAATTTTTTTCTACCAATTCAATTTAGGGTCAATGGAATTTAAACAAATTTGTTTGAAATAATTTTTTTAACAAAAAAATATTTAAAAACTCTTCACGTAAAAAAATTATACAGGTTTGCTCAAATTTTAATAATCTTAGGCATTTCTCGATATTTTAAAAATAATGCAATTTTTTTCAATTTTTAGAAGAAAAGAATGTCAATTTTAACATTTACAAAAATTACGTGGTTGACCTAAAGTATAGGAATTATGATTTTTTTCGACCTCGAGTTTTCGACGGATTTTTACGTTTTGGGGTCCTTTGAAACCGTTTTGACTATTTTTGCAATGATGTTTGTGTCTGTATCCACGATAACTCAAAAATGGATAAAAATAAATACAGTAAAGTTTAAACTCAAGCTTTAATCCTTCCTCAAATTAGTTGATTAAATTTTGGGCATAATCGAAGCATCTAGGGAGGTACTTTATAGGGTGTTGTTTTTTTTTAATTAAGGAATATCTGTTATTTACAATTGTAGAAGAAAATTCTTTAAATCAAAGTTGTTTTCGATGTCATTCCCTATAATTTTTGTCATATACATGATTTCCCTAAAATGGACCGTATTCGAGAAATTTGAAGAAAAGTGCAAAATTCAAATTTTGAAAATAGTTCAAAGACGAATAAAAAAAAACTATCAAATTTTAAACTTAAGCTTTAATACATTTTGCGATGAGATTATTAAATTAATGGTATAGTGGAACCATCTAAGGGACACTTTACAGGGTGTCGTTTTTTTTATTTTAAGGAGTATCTCTGTTATTTACGATTGGAGAAGAAAAATCTTCAAATTAAAGTTGTTAGCGATATCATTCTTTATAATTTTTGTTGTGTAGATATTTCTCTAAAATGGACGTAGAGAAATTTGAGGAAAAGTGCAAAACGAGAATTTTCAAGATAGCTCAAAAACGGATAGAGAAAAACACCAAATTTTAAACTGAAGCATTAATCCATCTTACAGTAAGCTGATTAAATTTTGGACATAGTCGAAGCATCTGGGGGGTACTTTATAGTGTCGTTTTTTTTTACTTTAAAGAATATTTTTGTTATTTACTATTGGAGAAGAAAATTCTTCAAATAAAAGTTCTTTTCGATGTCATTCCCTATAATGTTTGTCATATTCGAGAAATTTGAAGAAAAGTGCAAAATTCAAATTTTGAAGATAGCTCAAAGACGGATAAAGAGAAAACCATCAAATTTTAAACTTAAGCTTTAATTCATTCTGCGATAAGATGATTAAATTATGGGCATAGTCGAAGCATCTGGGGGACACTTTACAGGGTGTCGTTTTTTATTTTAAGGAGTATCTCTGTTATTTACGATTGGAGAAGAAAAATCTTCAAATAAAAGTTGTTTTCGATATCATTCTCTATAATTTTTGTTTTGTAGATATTTCTCTAAAATGGACCGTATATGAAAAATTTGAAGAAAAGTGCAAAATTCAAATTTTGAAGATAGGTATCAAAGAGAAAACCACCAAATTTTAAACTTAAGCTTTAATCCATCCTGCGATGAGATGATTAAATTATGGGTATAGTCGAAGCATCTGGGGGGTATTTTATAGGATGTCGCTTTTTTTTAAATTAAAGAATATCTGTTATTTATGAGTGTAGAAGAAAATTCTTCAAATAAAAGTTGTTTTCAATGCCATTTTCTATAATTTTTGTTATATACATGATTTCCCTAAAATGGACCGTATTCGAGAAATTTGAAGAAAAGTGCAAAATTCAAATTTTGAAGATAGATCAAAGAGAAAACCACCAAATTTTAAACTTAAGCTTAAACCATCCTGCGATGAGATAATTAAATTTTGGGCATAGTCGAAGCATTTCTGGGGGGTACTTATAGGGCTTAATTTTTTTTAAATTAAGGAATATCTCTGTTATTTACGAATGTAGAAGAAAATTCTTCAAATAAAAGTTGTTTTCGATGCCATTCTCTATAATTTTTGTTATAACATGATTTCCCTAAAATGGACCGTATGCAAGAAATTTGAAGAAAAGTGGTGCAAAATTCAAATTTTGAAGATAGCTCAAAGATGGATAAAGAGAAAACCATCAAATTTTAAACTTAAGCTTTAATCCATTCTGCGATGAGATGATTAAATTATGGGCATAGTCGAAGCATCTGGGGGACACTTTATAGGGTGTCGTTTTTTTATTTTAAAGAATATATCTATTATTTACGATTGGAGAAGAAAAATCTTCAAATAAAAGTTGTTTACGATATCATTCTCTATAATTTTTGTTCTATATACAATTTCTCTAAAATGAACCGTAATGGAAGAATCTGAGGAAAAGTGTAAAATTTAAATTTTTCCGTATTTTCATTGGCAATGAATATACAGTGTGTCCATGGATGGGGTCCCCAAGGGGGGAAAAATCTTTATTATTCATTTTACGACCAAAAGTCATTCTTTATAAAAAGTTCTGCTTGTTGAGAAAATGGAGTTGCCTTATAAAAATTTTAGATTAAATGTACAGGGTGTTAATTAGGAAAATATGAAAATGCTTCAAGAGGGAAGTACCATTATTTATTATTTTTAACAAAAATTTTATAAAACAAAGTTGTTTATAAACTAAATCGGCTATCTTGATTTTTTTTGTAAAATGCAAATTATTACATGAAAGTAATAATTATTAATATTCTATTTTAAAATATTGGAATTTTTATTTAAAAATTTGTATGCTAGTTTATAAACAACTTTGTTTTATAAAATTTTTGTTAAAAATAATAAATAATGGTACTTCCCTCTTGAAGCATTTTCATATTTTCCTAATTTATTAACACCCTGTACATTTAATCTAAAATTTTTATAAGGCAACTCCATTTTCTCAACAAGCAGAAATTTTTATAAAGAATGACTTTTGGTCGTAAAATGAATAATAAAGATTTTTCCCCCTTGGGGACCCCATCCATGGACACACTGTATATAAAAAAAATGTTTCGAGTAAGACATGTGTGGAAAATGTTTATATTTAGTTCATCTTCTAAATATATACAGGGGTAATACAATAGGTTGTACAGAATAACTGAAAAAATCCTATAATAACTTTAGGTATGACAGTAAAGTCATGTGTTGGAAATAACAGATTTTTAACTGTTATTTGCAGACACTTTCACATAGGCAACTTCATTCTATCGTGTAGATATAAAAATTAGTTTTAATTTGACAATATAACTCATGAAAGTATAATTGGACAAAGTTACACCGGGTGCGTTCACAAATGTAGGATAAACGCGTCCGGACGTTATCTAGACTCTATGTGGAACGTTTTATCGGGACGATTTACCCCAGCAGTTTCTATTTAAAAGAAAAACGCGTCGAGATGAAGAATTTTTATCCACCGTGTTGAATAGGATAATTTTTACTCGACTTGCGCAGTACTTTCGTATGATCTCAAACATAACCTTAATTAATTTGGAAAACCACCTATTTCATTTCCAATGTTTACTTTTTGATTAAAAATATTTAAATATGAATACACATACGAATGAAAAAAATAATTCCATCAACAGGGCCGACTAGAGGGGGGGGGGGTAGCTGGGACCAATTCCCGGGGCCCGGACTCAAATGGGGGCCCGGCAATTGAATTTTTGTTAGAAAAAGCTATTCAAGTAGAGAAGAAAAAGTTTTTTGCTTGAGGACCTTTGTAGAGAAGGAAAAGTTTGCTTGATGACCTTGTTTTTTTTTTGTTACGAGGCCCGATCTAGAGAATTGTCCTGGGGCCCGGTCTGGCTCTCGGCGGCCCTATCCATCAATTATCGTCTAGTTTCGAGAGATGGCAATTTAAAATTTTATAACAAAGGATTAAAGGTAATGAATTCAATTTTTACATAAAAATTTTTTATAACAGATCAAATAGTCTATATAGACGCCAATGTTGTTATCGATAGGTTCCATTTAGTTTACTATAATTTTTGATAATTCTTTCAATAATCCTAAAAACTTGATTTGACAATAATGACAAATGACAAGTGCCATTTGGACACAGTTCGTATTTATTGGGCAGAAACAAACGCTCTAACGAATTTTGTACGGACGATTGAAATTTTGACGCTCTCGATTTACGAACGCACCCCTGGTTGACAACATATTGCGACCCAAACTTTTTAATTTCTGTACATATCTCTCATTGAAATGAATTATATTTTATCTTCAAAATTGTTAAAAAATCAATTAAATTTTAATCAAAAGTACTTGAGGCCATATTTTGATAGCAAACCCGTATTTATCTATCAATAATGATCCATAAAAAACTAATAAACAAATGAGATGTAGTAATTACACAGTCAGATCTCGAACTATATCAATTTATTTTGTTTTTCTAAGCTATTAACAAACGGATCTTACCTCGACCATAGGAAGCGGCGCTTCGCTGAACGCGTAAGTCCTCTGATGCCACGACAATTGCCCCCTTATAGAATAAGCGATGGCAGTCACGAACTCACCGCCCAAACCCAATTCGGCGCAAAGTTTGAGCGCGAAATCCTCGGGATTGTTCTGCTTCTCGCTCATATCCCATTCGACCTTAAAAAATATCGTTAACAACATTAAAACTATTAAAAAATATAATACAAGTACCTGATCGACAAGCGACGTATTACCGACGTGTATATTCAATTTAACGATCACCCTTTGATCGCTAGACTCTTCGATAATGCTCGGCGGATCGGCGGGAAAAGCCTCGAGTTGTTGTCTGATCGCTTGGGCGATAGCCGGCACGAACGTCAATGGATTTAAATCGAGATCATCGCAAAGTACTTCAGCGAATTGTTCAGGTGTAATCAAACTCTCTAAAAACGATATTTATAATTATACAACGCTTTAAGTCTGTAATCTCTATTTAAGTACCATTTTTGTTCCAAGTGAAAGTATCTCTGAGTTTCTGTCCCTCGATTTCCATATCGAGCCTTATAGGTACCAATACCTCTGCTTGGCACGCGTTTTCGATGTTCAATTGTGGATCCGTATCGTCCAAACATAGAGGAAACGTTCTAACCTAAATATAATTTATATTCAGTAAATATTACCTATCTGTATAACAATAATAATAATGTTAATAAATTTAGAAAGTATCCTATTTAGTTATCCTCTGTTTGTTAAACTATGAGTTAATTAAGACATTCCTGTTTTTGAACATGTTGTTGTTACTGTTATTTAATAAACAAGTTATTTTCCAGAGGACGTCATGGAAAACCTATATAAATGTAGGTCAATATATCTTATTTACGAGACGAGGCAGAAATATAATTATAAGATCAAGCGAGCTTGCCTGGGGTGAGGTTCGATCTTAATTGTATGATGCCTCGTTGAAGTAAATACAGTTCATCAAATTTCTAGAGGCTTTCGACGGCTAGACAGAGAAAGCACTACTGAGAGGCATCGGTTGGCGGGGCCGACGGATTTACGCAATGAAAGTACACTCTGCGCATCAAGTATTTCACTATTTTATTCAGACGTAAATGTCAGATGTAAATTTCGCTAAAACATTTCTTTTATTTTTGTTTGTTTTTTGCTCATTACAGTTTAATAGAACCTTAAGTATGGAGTTTAATAGCAAATTAAAAGGCCGCGTGATTAACAGTCAATCTCGCGAAATAATAGCCAATGTTATAGAGTTTATGAGAAGAGAAGGAAACTTTAATTCACCTTCAATGCCATTTAAAAATGTAAATGATCGTGTTGCTGCAGCCACAGGAGTATCTAAAAACACTGTCGTCCGCATTTCTGGAGAGAAAAAAAGAATCGATAACCGTGAGATATCGGAATTTTCATCACCAAGAAAAACCATTAAAAAACCAAAAACAGTTAATGATATAGATGAAGCTGACAACGGCATTTTAAAAAGAATTATTCTGTTCATGTTAATCTCGGAAAATATTTTTCCAACATTAAAAACAATTCTGACTAAATTTAGAGAAGCTACAGGGTACAAAGGAAGCTATGAAAGTTTAAGAAAAATAATAAAGTCGCTAGGATTTCGTTGGCGGAAAACAAAAACAAACAGAAAAATATTAATGGAAAGGTTTGATATTCAAAAGCTACGTTTAGACTATCTGATTCGTTTAAAAAGTTATCGAGCAGAGGGCCGTCCAATTGTCTACTTAGATGAAACATACATTCATGCCTCCCACACACACCAGAAAGCTTGGAGTGATAATTCAAATGAGGGATTAAAGAAACCAATTAATAAAGGTGATCGACTAATTATTGTCCATGCAGGAGGTGAAATGGACTTTATTTCGAATGCCCGGTTAATTTTCAAATCTGGAACCAAAAGTGGAGACTACCACGATGAAATGAATTTTAATAATTTTTCTAAATGGTTGAAAGAAAAGCTGTTTCCGAACCTCCCTCCAAGAAGCGTCATTATTGTTGATAATGCTCCTTACCATAATGTCCAGGTAAATAAAGCACCAACGTCAACTTCTAAAATAATATTGCTTACGAAGAGGATATGCTCAAAACGCAATTATACAGTTTAGTGCTATTGCATAAGTCACGATTTAAGAGGTATGCAATTGAAGAAATGATAAATGAACATGGTTTTAGTTGTTTGCGTTTGCCACCGTATCATCCCGATCTTAATCCGATCGAATTAGTGTGGGCATCATTGAAACAATATGTAGCTAGTAACAACACTACATTTAAGAGGCAAGACGTACAACTGTTGTGTGAAGACTTTTTTGATACGTTTTCTAAAGAGGAGTGGCAATCTCGTTGTAATAATGCTAAAATGTGGGAATCTAAATTTTATGACAGAGAAGTTACTTTGGATGAGGCAACTGATAGATTTATAATTAACTTAAACAGTGACAGTGAGACTGATTTTGAATCTGATATGGAAACTGAAGAAAGTTTTTCGGAAGACCATTAAAATTATATCTGTACCTAAGATCAAAAAAGTATTATCTATTTTTACAACGAAGATGCACAAGAATCAAATTTTATTTTTTTATTATTAGATAGCTATTTTTGTTTCTGAGTTGTGTTCATTTACAGGCTCAATTTTTTTCCGTTTCTCCTTTTTGATTTTATATGGGGTTTCAAGTTAGTTTTGACTTATTTCGACGTAAATCACAACACACTTTTTTAATAAAGCAAACAAGTGTTAAGGGGTATATGTACGTGTAAACTACAATTACAAAAAATTGATATGAAACCCATGAAACCACCAACAAAAATGTAAAGCTAGCTTCCGTACTAGAACATGGTGTCATTCGTCGAGATAATTTATCGTTTTGTTTAATAGATCAAGAAATGTAAATATTCCCCTGTTATTTTTTATAAAATTATAAGAGAAATACATTTTTTTCTAAATAGTATAGTTTATTATTTTGTAGAAAAACAAAATTTCGAAAATTTTAGTAATGTTTCAGAAACAACCGTTATTAATAATAGGTACCATTTTCCTTAATAAGGTAGAAATAAAATATAAACTATTTCCACGATTTACAAAGGCCTACAAAAAAATTATAGGTATTTTCCGCTATCCTATAAAATTTATATTTTCTGACTCAATTTCAAAAGGTTGAAGGAATTCCAAAACACCTTTTATGGCATAATAATTATTTTCAATTCTACATACTATCTTTAGCTGCTTTTAAAAACGTTCTAAGAAAGTCCAATCAGACCAATTTAATCCCTAAACTATTCCACACTTTTAAAATTTAATTACCTAAAAATATTAAAAACTATTTAAAATAACTTGTTTAGCAGACTGTATAATAGCTATCTTAGTCACACGTAGCGCGTTCTCTGTCTGGGCGTCGAACACCTCTAGAAATTTGATGAACTGTAAGTCCCAGACCCACCCAATATTTCTAAAATCCCCTTTAAGTTGCAACAAGTATGCTATGAAATGACTAAAGGAAAGTGTTGGGATGAGAGGATTAGTGGAGAAAGGAATATATCAAATAGTTCCAGCTTTCAACTTGTGGCGACATCATAGCACCACATAGTCTTACCCGAGAATAACGATCAAGGAGAAGCGACAGTAGCTGTCGGTGCCTTTGATATCGGATGTACCTTTTTCACAACATGACTTTGATTGATACACAACTTAGCACGCTGAGAAAACATGCTTATTTTCTACACTGAGCGAAATAGTTTGGCAAATTATCTGAAATCATTGTTATAGTCCATGCGCAAATGTTGTAATGTGATTTAATTAGATTGAAGTAGTTAGGGTTAATAGCAATGGTGAAATTTCGGCAACAAAATATAATTCATTATGTAATAATTAATTATTTGTTATAAAAGTAAAAGACGTTCATTATTTTATAATTTATCTATAAAATCTATTTATCTATAAAATTTGTTCAATATTTGGTTTATTTATTGTTAAAAATGTAATAAAAGCCCCACTTTTAAATTAAATTACCTTTTCCTTAGGTAAAATAAGGTAAATAAAATTAAGGGTGCCAAAAAAAATTTAGGTAACAATTAAAAAGACATTAAGTTTGAGAGATTTAACTAAATATTTGCAATGTGCTGATATTTTCAAAACTTTTAGGTTTAAAAAGTACTTACATATTTTTAGAATTTCTGAATTTATATTATATTAAAAGGACTTTCAAGTTTATCACTCATTTCGGTAAAAACAAGTGTTTTCTCGCCAAGTTAAGCCAGATGACATTTAAGGTTTATGTATTTAGAGTTAAATACCTGGCCTGGCTATCACCCAGACAATACAAATATGTCCATTGGACGTCCATTCGATATACAATTTCTGGACTTCCGACATCCAATGGACGTCCAGTGAAGTACACAAATGGCACACTTTTGACCATTCAGAGGACGTCCAATTCTGGAATATATTTGGACGTCGAATACTGGACATTCAAAAAACGTCCAGGATTATATTTCCATTGAGACCACATCCCCACTTTTTTACAAAACCGCAACTTACCACACACTATTTTATATTATTAATAATTTGTTTATTATTTTCGCAAACCGCTATACACCATTTATTTTTTTTTTTATTAAAAATTGCTTGACATGAGCACGAATCGGACTCACGACACATCCATTATCGCTTTACGCTTTCAATTGCTAGACGAGCTCGACCAAGGAACCACTTGAAAACTTTTTACTAGATACAGTTATAATTGAATAAGATTTCAAACTTCCGCTGATAGAATGAAATGCAATAGATTCAAGTTGTCAATTTTTAATGACCAGTTATATTAAAAAAAGAAGTATATATTATAGATGAGTATTATCTGGTAGGCTTAATAAATAATGACCTAAGATGGACGTCCACTGGACGTCAAAATACTACTAAACTTAAAATTAAGTCCAAAAACAGACGTTCTCTGGGTATCGATATTCAGCTGTCAATTTAATTAGCATAAACGGACGTACACTGGATGCCCGGATATGGACGTCCTGGCCCTCAAATAGATCTAAAGTGGACGTACATTGGACTATGTGTGCTGTCTGGGCAAAGACGAATTTTTTGAAATAGTACTTATTTAAGTATGCACCAATATTTCCAAAATCAACTCCAGTATGATTCATTCAATAAATGTAAATATGAATGGGCAAAACATCTTTATATTGACATAATTGTACCTTACAATTTAGCCATAAGAAAGGGATTTCGCCCATTTTGATATGACGCGGATTTATTATATTTTTTTAAATATAATTTTCAAATAATTTAAACAAAATCTCCAGTTCATTGTTTATTAAATTTATTTAAAAGAAGAAAACATATATTTCACAAAATACAATACCTACATACGAAAAATAAAATGTCAAAAATGATTAAATCATTATACTTTATATTTATGCATGTGATAAAATTCTTAGTTTCCTAATAACTTTTTTGGCACATTTTATATCTGCATTAGAATACCTAAGTGTGTAAAAATCTTCATCTTATTACTACACAAAACAAACACCAAAAAATATCACTTAACATTGCTCACGTACTAAACACAACTTGGACTGACTTTGACAGATAACATAATTTTGAGTGATACACAACTTATTTTCGCACATGCGCGTTACAAAACGGTACGCTAAAAACACCAAGCTGTCGCTTCTCCTTGATTGTTATTCTCGGGTCTTGCCTTTAATTCTGACTTTTACGTCAATTTATTTTAAGGTTTCTTAGTCAGTTTTTATTTGAGGTTGGTCAAGTGTCAATGTCAGATGGTACCATTATAATAACATCACATATATTATGATCTTGGTCGATAGCTGCGTACACTAGCACCCTACTTATCCGATGGATGGTAACCAAGGAAAAGGAAACAAAATTATTGATTATTACATATTCGAAATTAAGAAGACAAGACAAGACACAAAGACGCGACATTTTTTAAAAAGACATTATTATTATTAAGTTATCATATATATTTGGATTTTTTAAAGTTAATAAATTATTTTTTTAATATTCAGATGAAAATTATTTAAATGGAAATTGCTACCTACACAACTATATGGTCGAATCGAAGCATATACAGGGGTATATTTCTGAGCTATTTCTCGAGTTTGTTCTGTACAAAAGAAGAAATATTTTTACCTTTTTGGCGGCCACTCTGTTTCTGTTGATAGGCGTGGCTTGAGGAACGGCATCCAGATGACTGGAGTTGGGTAGAGACGGTACCCATTGCATGTTCTTCTTCGATTTGCTCTCTCTTGGCATCGGAGGTTCTGAAGTGTGCACAGATACCGCTTTGTATCTGGAACACATGTATTAACAAAAATCATAGGATTTCTTTTTTTAAAAACAAATTGAACTGTTTTTTGTTTCGTAAATAAAATAAATTGTGGAGAATCTTTATTTTGTAATAGTAAAATTATAGCGTGAAAAAAAAAACACTATAAACTCTTTTATATTAATTTCTCTTGTGACAGCATTTTGTAGACTATGGTAGCTGCATCTGAAATTGCTATGCTATCTCACAATCATTATTAATTAAAAAAAAATGTAGAAAGTTTAGAAGTATAAATGTTTAATGTTAAGACAAAATGTTGTTCTCACTTTTTAAACACACATCCAGTATAGACAGCTTAAGTTAAGCTTGCCTGAACTCGTTTAATAATAATAAAAATAACAATTTTCATAATGAAATCTGTCAATAACTCTAAAATTATTAGAGCAACTGTTTGAGCTACGAATATGAGGTTTGCGACATTAAACTTTTCTCATGTTTATTGTCTGTATCAAAAATGCCTCTACACTCAGACGAATTTTATTATGAACAAAACAAAAAAAAAGGGCAATTTCTATAAAAATAATTGATATGATAATTGATAAATATGTTCTAATTTATTAATTCTTTATTACACAATTGTTTTAGAGCCTGTATGTCATACATTTTAAATAATGATTTATTTTTTATTACATTACTAAACAGGTCAAGACCTAATTACAGAGTAAGAGTACAAGAATATATAAATACAATTAATTTAGAAATAATATACTAATTGATTAAACAGCAGATGTGAATTATTTATCTAGCCTTTCATGAATATACACAAAATTAAAGATTTCAGAGAACATTATTATAGAAATAACACCTAATATTATGAATTGAACTATAAAACAAATCAAGCTGGCAACTTAATGATTCATAATTATTACACATGGTGTATATAGAGGATTTTAAGAGAACATTTGTTCTGGGTGTATTCAAGTAAAATGTACGGGTGTTCCTGGAAGCTATTTGAAGAATTGCAAAATTAAGACTATGAATCAAATATGAAAAATCAACTTTAAAATGAACTGTCTTAAATAGCAATACCACAGAATAATATTTGCGTCTTGTATCAAGACTCCAAAACTTATCTCTAAGTAGCAGATCACGATGAGGTGTACCTATAGTAGGATAAACTCCATCTTGTTTAAAACTTAAAAGTTTTAATAATCTCCGTTAGACTAATGAACTCTACACAACTGGGGCATATTCAAGTTTAGATCTGACAAATGAATAATACAATAATTTTAGTGTTTTCGGTTCCTTAAAATCACGACAGTTACGGACACATCCCCAAGTAGATATTCATAAAAGTATATTTGTTGTGAAGTCCTCATCATCATCTATTGTATAGTCCAGGAGACAGTGACGATTTTCGGTATTTATTTTCCCAGTCAGGAAGCACGAATAGAGAATTGTAGGATTATCAATTCTAAGCAAAATTAATATATATTTAGAGGGGGGTCCAATGGACTGAGGCCGAAAATGCGTCAAAACATACGAGAACACGGCCCTTTTTTTCCATTGATAAAAATAGTTTTAGTAGTAAGAGATGTTCTGAAGTTAAGTAAAAAAATAGTCTGATTAATCTGTATGGATAATATATTTGGCAAGTACATAAAATACATTTTCAAACGAGTTATGTACACAATTATTTCTACGACCACAATTATTTAAAGAATGTTCCAGGTGTTTTGTATATTAAAGTGTACGCATAGGACACAAATAAAATCATATATCACAATGTTTCACCTAACCAGTTGGTTTATTTATAGAAATTAACCATAATAATTAAAGATATTACAGAAGAAAATAGGGAAATAAATTACATTTCCTTTTACACTTACATTAATTATAATTATTGTTAGTTTCGTTATGTCAAATCATTTATACTAGAGGTGTGAGGAAAATACAGTGAACTGTGGAACGCCAATATCGTTGGATTCGCGTGGTAGAAATGGTCCTATAATACTGTTAAAAACATAGCTAAATTTTCATAAAAACACTGTACTTTTGACATTTGCGATACTCTGACGCATATTCATTATTGATGTAATCTCATGATTTTACAGTAATAGTAAAGTGGTGTAAAGTTAGACGCCTTTATTTTTCAGGTAAGTTATTTGTAGTTATTTTTTACTTTAAAGGATAGCAATACGTCCTGATTCGGGGTGTGACTTTTGGGTTTTAGCTATCTGAGCCAAATTGTCGGCTAAGTGTCCTCTTTTAGGGCACCTAGAACCGAAAACTATATAGGTATATAATGTTTTTTTTTTTAATTATTTTTTAATATGTATGCAGCTTGGATGGGGGCTTTAGGAAGAGATCCTAAGACTGAAACACTGACTGCTATAAATGCCGTTTTTAGAGCACTTTTCATAGCAAGTGATTTCATTCTAGCAGGAATAAGGAAACGTTTAAAAAACATGCTGTACCTGCTATTACTTTAAGACGTCGTCTCTTTAAGTTATTATTACTTCATTCTAATGCATATATTAAAATGGTTTTTAACTTGTGCCCTTATGATTAAAAGATGTAGGCATGTTATAATAGAAATATATGATACATTGTATTGACTGACCTACTGGCCACTGGTCATTCCACTTTTACTCCCTTTTTTCATAAATTATCAAATTATTTAAAAACAAATACATACCTAGCCATTTTCTGTAAATTACATTAAAAATGTAAAAAACGTATTTCTCATCTATTAAATTGTTGTTAACGATAAAGAATACTTTTAATTTATTAAAACAAAACTAAAACCTGACTCGATAACTTAAATCAGTGAAAATAAGTTGCTTGAGATGGGGTCGTTTTTATGGAAAATTTTAGTGTTAATACTTTACTAATAAAACTTCAGTTAATTTATCTTATATATATACACGACGGAAGAGTTAATTGGATTTTCTCCTTGTTGAGTTTCAAAAATAGTAATTTAACATGATTTAAAAACAAATACATGAAATGGGCAAAATAGGCCTGCAAAGGCACTTTGTAAACAATCTCACTTGTATCGATGTGACGTAATGCGCGAATTCAATCTGGCTTACTTTTGTTAATAGATTGGCGTTCCATTTTAAATATACAGTTCACTGGGAATAGATTATTTAAATATACACGGACCGGGAAAACAAGGACGAAAAAAATTCATTGGCTCCTGGACTAGTACTGTATCGAAGGAATTTTATGAATGAAACAATATACGACCCTCCACAATTGCGATCTACTCTAGTTCCGCTGTTGTCAGACGTTATTTTTTTTTTGACATTTTAAAGACCTAACAGTATTTCAAGCAAACGCAATAACATTACTACAGTTAAAAACATCGCAAACTTGGCATCAATATTTTAATTTTATCCAAATATTGCATTTCTGTCGAGGATCATCCGCGTTGACTTCAGAAATTGTGTAATCTGTCTTGGTTATATATATCTATAGTTAAAAGCATGTAAACTTGGCATCAATGTTCAATCCGATTATTGGGTTTCTACCGCGGACACCACCATAACGGTGGAACGGCCTTTCATGAATCCATGTTCTTATGTTGATATCGTATTACTGACGTGATGATAAATCTTGTTTTGAAGTAACATATCAAACACTTTACAGAAATTATTAATAATTGAAATTGGACGATATTGTGTAATGTCTGATTTATCACCCTTTTTAAATATCAGACAGACCTTAGAGCATTTCCAGATAGAACAAAATTTGAGACAAATATTTAAGAGAACTTTTAAGGGATGAGCAAGAATTGAAGCGCAGTCTTTCAAAACAAAGGATGGAATATTATCTGGCCCCATAGTCATTTTAGGTTTCATTGATTTTAACGTATTTTTAACTTCATTTTCGGTAAAGGAATTTATGTTTAAATTTGGTTTATTTAATAGATTAACCTCGGAATTTGGCTCAGTAGAATCAGTGTAAAACTTACAAAAAAGGTCAGCAAATCGGTTAATAATTTCAGTGGGATTCTACAAGTAATTTTCATTGTAGCACATTCTGCTGAGCAAACGAGTCAACTGTGTTTTATTTGAAACTAGCGGACCCGACAGACGTTGTCCTGTCTTAACTATGAATATTGATTTCGAATTGATATAATTAACTAAAAAAATATTTCAGAAACAAAGTTTTTATTATTCTAATGCAAACACAACAAAAAAAGAATTAGCGAAATCGGTCCAGCCGTTCACGCGTGATGCCGTGACCAAGGGAAAAATGGATTCATTTTTATACATATAGAAATTTTCTAATTTTCCTCGCAATTTTCTTAATTTTTTCTTTCATAAGAACCTTCTCTTGACAATAACAAACACAACTAAAAAATAATTAGCGAAATCAGTCCAGCCGTTCACGCGTGATGCCGTGACCAAAGAAAATATGGATTCATTTTTATATATATATAGAAATTTTCTAATTTTCCGCGCAATTTTCTTAATTTTTTCTTTCATAAGAACCTTCTCTTGATCATAATAAACACAACAAAAAAAGAATTAGCGAAATCGGACCAGCCGTTGAGATTTTAATGTTTCAAGAGCATTTTTATACACTGTACATTTTTGTGGCTCCCAAACAGCATGATCGCTAAGAACCTTGAGGTCTCTTAGATTTATACAATTAGAACATTTGTAATTGTTTGATTTACACTCCTTGATGTCTCAGCACATAATGGACACAGTCATAACTATCATACCTTACAAATAAGTTACCAGCTTTCATTGAGTGTTCATATACAGTTTTTTCAACCTGAATAATAGCCTAATAAATATCTGTTTTTTTTCCGTTGGAAATTGATGGCAAATAAAAAGTTATGGAGATACAAAATATTAAAAATAGACCAAAAACTCATATAAATGACTTATCAATTTATAAATTCAGGTACATGTCACCAGTGTATCAGTCATCTTTTTCTTTAATTTATAAAATTTACAGTAATGCAAAGTGATTAGTGATTATAGATTTCTTTAAATATAAAGTAATGAATGTTTTGGAAATAAGATTGAAAAAGTTAGTAAGTAAATAAATAAAAAAATAAATAAATTCATACAAGGTAATTGAATTAAATAATTTTTAAGCAATACGTACGCCACTGAACCACATGCGACAAAAAAGCCTTTTATAAATCTCCTTTTGAAATTGTTTGAATTAAGAATTAATAGAAAACTGTTTAGATAATTTTAAATTACTTATTTAAAAGTAAACTTTTTACTTTAGGAAAAAAAATTATCAACACACTGACTGATTCAAATAATATAATAACGAAAAAAGTGATACAAGCGCTTGAAAGCGACGTTGCCATATATAAAAAATAGTATATAAATCCTAGAAAATATAATTCTTTAAATACTAAAAATTCCTGGGCAAATTTATTTTCTTTTAATGTATTTAAATGTCTAATGTACTTGCCTTTCATAATAAAAATCGATTGAACTCATTTGAAAAGGATTTATGAAGGCAATTCTAAATTATCTTAAATTGAAACAATCTTTTTCTATATTTTGAGGCATGAACATGCCACTTTTTGCCACGATGGGTTTAAATACAAAGATAATTCATAAATTATGTTACAATGAAAAGATTTATCAACTTTTTATACATTTTGAGGTAAAAAAATGCCAATTTTTAACAAGATTTTGACATAGCAAAATGTTAAAAATGCTCCAGTGGTTGCCTATTACAAAATATTTATTATTTTATTATCTGCTATTTATATTTAACAATAAATCAGAAATCTCACCAGGATGTTCATAAAGAAAGTACAAGAAACAAGCAAAATTTTATAGTTCAAAAGGCAACGAAAAATGTGCACAAAATTCAATTTTTTTAAAGGTGCACAGGGCTTTAATAATTTGTCTTCAAATGCAACAATATTCAAAAAAAAACTACATGTTGACACTGATCATAAACAAGACTTTGGTAACTCTGATTACTTGATGTTTTTTTCTTTTATTCTGTTTTGTAAAGTTGACTTTGTTTTATCATTTTAAATGTATGTCGACTATATACATATCTATTTTTATTTTATTTTAAATTTCATCGCTAAGCAAGTTAACTATAAATATACTTACTTATCATCATTTCCATCAATGATATCTTCAACTTCACCAGCTCTAAGTAGAGATACACTGCTGGCCAATACGTGCTGGCTCAAACCAAGTTCGATTAATCTTCTTCTTTCTTCATTAGTTATAGATCTTCTAAACATTCCAGGGTACTTTTTATATAGAGATCCTCTGAATAGTCGCAGATAGTTTCCAACCTATATAAGTTTAATATTGTATACATTTCGTCGTTGTTTTGGCTATTGGTCGTATCTCAAATTTACAATAATATCCAGGAGGCCCTTAATAAGATTTTTCATGGAATAAAACACTTTATTACTGATAAATTTTAAAGTAAGTTGGTTTGTTTCTTCTAATTTTCTGTTATACTTTAATCATTCTGGGAGCTATGTACATTGTAGTTTATGTTGTTCGATGTTAAAGAGACCTAACTCAATTTTGAAAAAAATATAAGAAACGACCAATAGTTACGACGATTTAAATGCACGTTTTGGGCTGACAAAAAACAGTTATGAACAAAACCTTTTATCAAATTATATTGTTAGAAAGTACTTCATTTTAACTGAATATAACTTAATATATAAGCTAACGAAAGATATGATTAAAATAATTATAAAAATACGAAAAAAAATTACCTCGGATCCAACACAATAGTATTCCCCATTTTCTTCCAGTTGGAAACTTATTGGCTTATCTCCGTAGGTTCTCAGAGCCATGTTAAGAAAAAGGTATTAATTTATTGCTTTTAATAAAATATTCTAATCAATTTCTACAAATACCGAACACAAAACAGCACAAACACCGATTTTAGCTAAATTAAATTCAATTAAATGGACCAAAACAAATACAACACAAAAAGTCAAAGTCAGTTGTCAGTTGTCAAAAATTAAACAGGTTTATAAGCATTTTTTCTAGTTACAGTATTCCGATTGCAGCGTTGCCACGATCAATAAATACCGTGTTAAATATTAAAATTTGAATTTATAGTGGCTTTTACTTTAAGAAGGGAAACCCCTTGCCTTTTTTAGTTCATTCTTCGATGATAATAATAATGTATGAGGGTAGGCTGGCTGGCTAAAGTAGCCTTCTTACTTTAAACAACATTGCAAATTTTAACAAAATCGGGTGAAGGATATTAATGATATTTATAAAAAACTGATTTAAAAAGTTATGCATTTCCAACCCTATGTTTAAATGAAGAAATTACGTAGTGGGATCTCGGATTATAAGAAATTTGGATACAAACAACAAACTAAATACAAAAAATAGTAAGAATTCATAAATAAGCACTTAAAATCTAATTGTGCTTGCAAGTCCTTTAGTGATTACAAGCCTTTTAAATGCTTGCAAGTCTTTTAAGTGCTTGTAATCTATTTTGAGTACTTTCAAGCTCTTTTGGGTGATTGCAAGCACTTTAAATAGTTTGAAATGCGATATTCAATTGCCAATTACTAAGAACTGTTTATAAAGGACTTCGATTACCAATTGCAGTGTACTGTATTTTAAAAGTACTCGCAAGGACTGTGCTTGAAGCACTAACTAATGTACTTGAAGCACTTTTTCAAGCATTTTCGAGGCAATTACTGCCCAGTTGGGCACCTATGGATAACAGGTTACCATTATTACATTACAAGAACTTTTTTCGGAATTTGTTTTTGAAGTCGCGCAAGTACCTATATGGACATTTTTAAAATGAATAAATAAAAATATGGAATAGATTTTTAGTATCGTTTCATATCTAAAACAACCACAATCTTTTAACGCTTTTTAGAAATTTGTTAATCATAATGACAAAGTATTGCATTATTTCTTATCGGCAAAGTTAAATAATCTGAAAAATAACTTATCAATAGATTGATTGACCTCCCGTATATCTTTATTGTTTAACTTATGTAGTAATAATTATTATTAGTTCGGTGGTAAAAATAAGCCCAACAAGATGTTTTCTTTAAGATTTTTGAATAATGTTGGAAGAAATTTTGCCTTTAGGACTTTTAGTAGCGAGGCAAAAGGTGAAATAACGGCTTTATATAATTTCCACGTAGAAAAAGGGGGAAAAATCGTCAATTTTGGTGGATTTTTGCTACCAGTACAATACAGCGACCTCAGTATTGTGAATTCTCATTTATATACAAGGAAAAATGCATCAATTTTTGATGTTTCTCATATGCTTCAAACGGAAATAAGAGGTAAGTAGATTTCTCTTTTATATAAGATTCAAATGCTTATTTTAAAATTCTAAACCTAGAGAATGAATGGAAAATTTCCCAAATTACTTGAGATTTATATTAATGATAAATTTGTACCTATATCTACTATTATCAGTACAGGAAATTATTTGAATTTTAATTTTTAGGTAAAAACTCCATAGAATTTTTTGAAACAGCATGCACTGCAGATATACTGGGTCTTCAATATAACAGTGCAACTCTTACAGTATTCACCAATGAGAAAGGTGGCATCTTAGATGACCTTATAGTTACCAAAATAGCAGATGATTATCTTTACATCGTTTCCAATGCTGCCATGAAGAAGCAAGATCAACAAATTATGTTGAACACTTTGGTAAATATAGAAAACCCCTAAATAAAAGTATTTATACCTATACAATATATAAATCGTTATGTAGAGACCAGTGTTGTTAAAAATATTTTATTTCTTAAAATAACTTAATACCTATTGATTCCATATAGCACTCAGAACGTTTTGATTATCTTATTTTGAGAATATTATACTGCTTTGGTTACTACTAAATATCCTTTGCACTTATACAGAACATTTTTATGACTTGTAACACAAGTAAATTTTTGTTTTAGAATATTTATAAACAGAAAAATCCGAACGCCGATATTCAAATAAAATTTTATGAACCAAATGAAAAAAGTCTGCTGGCTCTACAAGGTCCTAAAGCTGCAGATGCATTGAAAAAATTAACAGATGTAGATATTTCCAAATTGTATTTTATGAACACAATAATAGGAACTGTGGCTGATGTTAGAGAATGTAGAATTACAAGGTAAAATAATTTAATAATAATAATTTCGAATCCAGTTTTTTCAAGCGGATTTTTTTTTTATTTCAGATGTGGGTATACTGGAGAGGACGGATTTGAAATTTCCATTCCAGCTCCAGAGACTCAGAAAGTGGTTACAGCGTTGTTGAACAATGAAAACGTCAAGCTTGCTGGACTTGGTGCCAGAGACTCTTTGAGGTAAGGTATACAAATGTTTCAGACAGGAAAAATTTGTTTAATAGTATATTATAGACCAAGGGGCTAAAAGGGCACTTTTTATCTCGAGGCGAAAATTTTGTAGCCCGATCGATGGTTGTTTTTACGCTATTATTTTATGCTCTTTAGAAAAGGAAAAATAAAATAACAAAACACTTAACGGTACTCTATTAACAAAACAATGACAATGTCAGTGCATTGCAGTTGTTTTTTTTTTGTACTGTATTTTTGTTTCCTAGGGATTAAAGCAAATTTTTCATCCCTAGGGAGTAGAAGTGGCATTTTAGTCCCTAAAAATAAGGACTAAAAAAGTATACTTTTAGTCCCTTAACAAAACAATGATTGTCAGTGTAAAGTTGTTATAAAATTGATGTACATTATATTTTGTACTGTATTTACAGTCGCTAAGGATTAAAAGTAAATTTCTAATCTCTAGGCAGTAAAAGTGCTATTTTAGTCTCTGAAAATAGGGACAATAAAAGTATACTTTTAATCCTTAAATTTCATTAACCCATTTTTTTTTTGTTTCAGATTAGAAGCAGGTCTTTGTTTATATGGAAACGACATAAATGCAGAAACAACTCCCGTAGAGGGCGCGTTGACATGGCTGGTATCCAAAAGGAGAAGAGAATTAAAGAATTTCCCGGGAGCTAATTTAATCCTCAAACAAATCAAAGAAGGTTCTACAATAAAACGAATAGGTTTGATATCTCAATCAGGTCCTCCAGCTAGACAAGGAGCTGTTATATTATCAAAGGAAGGTGAAGAATTAGGAAAGATAACATCAGGATGTCCTTCGCCGAGTTTAGGGAAAAATATCGCAATGGGATATGTTAAAACCAGTTCTAGTAAATTAGGAACGTCGGTAAATTTAAAAATTCGCGATAAAGTATACGAAGCAGCTGTTAGTAAAATGCCTTTTGTAAAATCTAATTATTATATTAAGCCTAAATAAATTTAAATAAAAAGTCGCATTTTTATTTTTAATTAATAAACTTGGCAACGTTTTTCAGATTCGTATTTATTCGTGTTGGTTCGTTGTCAGTTCAGGGAAGGAAATTCTCTAGTCTTGAACAGTTGTTGTAGTGTTGCCAGATTTCTGTGTTGTCCAAAGGTTTTAATGAAATAATGAATATGTAAACAAAAAATAATTTAAATTCTAGTAAAGAACAAATCTTGGTGTCATAGGTATGTATTATACTTTAGACATATAAATACAGATCGGACGCTATTCTTTACACTGCATTATTTAGGGTACGGACAGAAAGGACTATAATAGTTCTACTAGGTACTACTTCGTATTGGCGTGTTAAATATACTTTAAAGTAAAAAACTGGAATTTTATCAAGAGAACTTAATTTGTAAAGCCGAATGATACATTTTCTGTAAGAAATTCAAATTGTTGACACAACTGAATGTTAAGTATTGTTTAACTTTGGCAACGATGTTATATCATCATAACCTCAATTATGTCATGTGTTGTGTGTGTTGTGGTTTGGTGATATAACTTAAATTTGACGTAAGTAAAGTTTATTGTTATTTAAATATCATGTTTTAATTAATTAAGTGCTAATTTAGTTAGTTTAATTTCATTAATTATTCTCCAAACGTTTGAATATATTTATACATGACCAATTTTAAAAGGTAAATCAAAAAACATTTTATAACTTGTACCTATCTAGGTACTTATAGATAAAGATAAAACAATATTGGGAATTAATTATATTACATCAAAAGGATAATTTCAATAATATTTATTTTTCTCATAGTCATAGAAACAGAAATATTCAATCTTATTTATGATATTAGTCACTAACTTTTTCAAATTGGTAAAATTTATTAATTAGGTATAATTGATTAGTTCCAGTAACAATTGTAACATTTTTTTTCCATTGGCTGTACATTAAAGGAACTGGTAATATTTACAATACCTAATTAAATTTTCAAAGTTCATATTTTAAGCTTTTAATTGCACCTATTAGGTATATTCTAGGTACTTACAATAATGCACTTATTTTTATACAAATTCCATAACACAATTGACTGTCATGGGTATTTAGACGAGGAAATAAATTGGAATAAAATAATGCAAATTAAACTTTTATGATTTGGATCTTTCAATGATTTATTCAGTATACATTAAAATACACAATTTCTACATTTGTAAATAAATAAAGCCATATACCTAGCACATTTGTTATGAATATGGGTAATATAAAATTTAGAATAGAATAGAATCTTTATTTAATATAGGAAGTCCTAATACATAGTAGTTTTTTTAAAAATATTACATATTATCCTCAGTCTGCACAAATTCATTTGAATAAATAAAATAATATAAAATAAAATAAGACTCTCAATATATTATTCAGTTTATTTAATATTTCCTCAAGGTTATACTCATAACATGCTACCAGTGTATCATCTGCAAATAGATTAATAAAATCACACTCAATACAATTAATATCATTTAAATATATGATAAATAGAAGCGGCCTTAATATAGTTCCTTGCGGTACTTCTAAGTTATTTTTTAATATTTCAAATGTTGATTTACCTAGCTTTACATATTATTATTGTAATCTATCAGTCATATACTGTTCAAACCAGATCAGGACTCGTCCTGCAAAACAATAATATTTTAATTTATTAATCAAAATTTTATGATCTATTGTCTCAAAAGCTTATAGTCTAATCAACAAGTTCAAAAGCGTGTTTTTGGGACATACTATTACGAAAATTATGTTCAATAGCTCATTCGATTCGGAATAATGTCTAGATCAATGTGTGAAGAAAATTTTTGCAGTGCATAAAAAATTGCAAAAGTTATAAACAATTAAACACCTCAAAAACATGGTGTTTGGTTTTTCCCAACTTTGGTTTATTTTTTCCTGAAAGAAATAAAAATTCCAAAAACGACTTCGAAAATTAAATAAACAATTGCAAATGTTATATAATTAATAGCTTAACAGAATTGCCTTAAAGTTCAATAACCGAATTTTCATTATTTACTTTACAAAAGTTCGAAAAACTTAAAAAAAAATCAATTTTTATAAACAAATATAAAAAACAACAAATTGACAATAGGTACGGAATTGACAAATGACTTATCTGAGAGATAATTTCATTGCCTACAAAAATGACTTCAATGTTTATTGTCGTATCTCCAATAGTTTAAAAGGTATATCAACTTTTATGTCAACAAATGGATCAGCTACTGCAACTTTGATAATACGTATATTTTCAAAGTTTAATAAAAAATGTAATAAATTTTTTTCCGTAATTTTAATGCACTAAGTCGTTTTTGGAATTTTAATTTCTTTCAGGAAAAAAATAAACCAAAGTTGGGAATTTGTTTATAACAAATTGTTAACTTAATACACAATGGAATTATAAATAAAAAAAATTTTTTGCTGTCACTTTGTAGAGGACTGTCAATTATGATTAAAAAAAAACACATTTTTTAACTAATAATTTAAACAATAGATATATTAAAATAGATTATATTATAAACAATTAAAAGTTATTCATAAGAAAAAAATTTTTTTTTAAAAATCATAATTGGCAATTGTCTAGAAAGTTGTAAAAAAAATTTTGAAAAAGTTGGGAGTTTGTTTATAACAAATTGTTAACTTAATAAACAATGGAATTATTAATAAAAAACATTTATTTTTAATAGTTGGAATTTTTATCTCCTTTTTCATTTTTAACACCTTGAGAGCTTCTTGTTTTGGTCTTTGCCCAGTCTGAACACCCTTTATTTTTGAAATATCAACATCAATATCTTTTAGCAGTTTTTTTACTGAGTCTTTATCTTCTCTTATTTTGTTTGCAACTATTTTTTTGTTTCGATTCATTTACATTTAATATAATAATGTTTGATGCCCTCTTCTGTCTTTCTGCCACTTCCATCATTAGTTCTTCTCTGTTAATTTTAGCTACATCATTTGAAGTTGCATCTTTTTCGTTATTTTGATCAGATGCCTTATTTAAATCCAAAGATTTTCGGGAAATTTATTAAATTTTTTACCATTTTGCGATGTTCGTTCTATACGAAAAGAAATAAAATCCGAGAATTACAACTAAAATAAATACTCATCAAAGTTTATGCATACATAAACAAATGGGGTTGTCAAATACAGGGTGTTTCGGAATAAAGTACCGTAAACTGGGGGACTAATTAGGTATTAAGGACAGCGTCTCCTAGGAATTTCTGAACAAAATTATGTCAATTTAGATTCAATCAAGGAGGTGCTGTTACCTACCGACTAGAGATTGAATTAGTGCAAATTATTACAGAAATCTTTAAGTAACTATAAATATCGACCGACTAGCTATTAGGGGATATTGTATTATATTGTATTATAAACCGGTTTTAAGTAGACTGAGTTCGAAGGATCATAATAATAGTCCTGAACATAAAATCTATTTTTCAATAATTGCCGGGATTTTACCAAATAAAAAAAAATTATTTCGCGATTGTGTAAACGGTCCAATCGTTTTATATGCCATTTATAATATTATAAAAATGTTAACTCTAGGACTCATTTTGGAGTATGAGCATACTTTATTTCAATACTTTTATTGTACTGTTTCATAAAGTATTACCTACCTATTACATTTTATTTTTATCGAAAATTGACTTTGTTTCCTGGACCAAAGTAAAGAATGTAGGTAGGTATTATGCAGATGGCAACAACAAAAACGATATCTTGCCTCACATTAAATATAAATATTTCCTAAAACAAATAATTTGGTTTATATACGGGTAGCAATACGAGGGATGTTTATAATTTCAAGTCACGAATATAGAGTCGTTTCAAAATATATTGCCACAATAATTGCGTCACATTGAGTCGGAGTGGGACGCTTGACGTGTCGCAATTCGCAATATATTTTAAAACTATTCTACCTAATTAATAAATTGTGATTTTGAAGTATCGAATGAAAACTATATTCTCATTGGTTAAAGATGGAAGTTTTTGTCATTTGAATGTTCAAGAATATTAATTATGATTAATTGGTTAAATACCGAAGTTATCCTGTTATCTGATGTTGGTACTAACCTAATGTTTTTGGGTAATTTTGACTGTCATTTACTGGAATTTCCAGGCCCGCATAAATATTTATCCTATTAAAGTACAAAAACCCTACAATAGATATTATGAGTAGGTATTTAACATTTATTTATCTTATCTTATCTTAGGTAGTTATTTCCTAGAAACATTTCACTGATTGTCAATAACACATTACCGTATATCTGTGCCAATATGACGTCACGACTTTTAATATACTTAATGAAGGCTGGGGGAAGGAGTTAAGAGTCTATAAATTTACAAACAAGCTTACGGGTATTTAGTTTTCAAAATTACATTACACGTTTCTGAAGTGTTTTATTGTGCTGTTTGTTTTTAATAAGTGTTATTTTCTTTAATAGAAAATTGATTTATTTGTGCCAAGTGTCCTAGTGAGTCTCATTGTACATTTTAATCAGTTTTATTTTTGGATAAATTGACATCGACTTCCTGCATTAAAGGTAGGTAGTATTTTTTTTCTATCACTCTCGAGTTCGTCATTGAATAAAAAAATTAAACGCTATATTTTAACATTCAAATATTTGCAATTAAAAAATAATATTACGTATTAAATTTGACAATAAAAAAACTTGTTATTTAATAATAATGTTTCATTATTCTGAATATATTTTTTCTACGATCAATATCCAAAGTAGGTAGGCTTTTGCACATTAAAATCTAAATAAAAAGTTGACGTTTTCTGCGAATTGTCATAATTTGACATTATTGGCGCACATTACCTAATATTCAAACCCATTTCCATGCTTAAAAATAGAAGATGGTGACATTCATTTAAAAGAAAACTATAACTACTTTTACCAGGTGAAAAATTTCAATATGTTAAAATAATTCATGATTTTTAAGAAATGTGCTAGAAATGATACTACAATATTAATATTCTTTTTATGTTTGATTTTCTAATAATGATTTTATATACTTTTAGATTCAAGGACAGCTAGGTATAGCTCAAAGAAAATTGTGCTACTTTGTAGTATATACTGGAGATGAAAATCCACTATTTGTTGAAAAAATTCATTTTCAACCCATTTTTTTTTTTTCAAAATATGGTTGAAAAATTAGAAAAATTTTACTCGGAATATATGGCACCTGAGATAATTTTAAATAGAAGAGGACGAGGATTAAAATGTCTGGATACCCCATATAATGAAACTTAAAGTGCAAAGATTAGCAAATTTATAAAAATAATAATTTAATGGACTTTAATGATACAAGTACTTGAAATAATGTTTTTTTTTGCGCAGAAGCATGTTCATACGTAATTTGCAATTGGTAATCACAGATGGAAAAGTATATACGTCAACGATATGTTCTCTTATTTTTGATTTATTTTAACAGGTATAATATATGGTATGTTACTTATGGTATAGATTTTTTTATTTCTCGACCTAATTTATTTGTTACGTCTTCAGCAATTATTGCTTTC